GTATGGAGTTATCAGGTTGTGCGCCATCCTGGTGCACATACTTCTGGAGCGCCCATTCTTCAATATGAAAATACGAGATAGCGATCGGAGACCGCCGACTTATCGATATTCCGCACGTTCAATATTTTACTCGACAATTTTGGCGGAGTACGATTTCACATGACTTATTCTCGTAAATTGTGCTTTATTGGTTGGCCACATTCTAAATAATTTAACCTGCTGAAACACACAGAACTGGATCGTTTTCAGCCAATAGTCAATTTACCACCAAAAATGGCGCCAACTATCCTATATTTTGTGTCAAGTACAACGGCGCTAACCGCAATTGCGACGGCTATTCAACCACAACCAAGCGATATTTTGGTGAAGAATTAGATTTGGTTTCAGCCAATAGCCTATGCCAGAGGTCGGCAACCACCGGGCCGCGGCCCATCGTCGGTCCGCAGAAAGATTATTACCGGCCCGCTGTAAAGTGGCCGAATAGCGTACAAAGCCCTAATAACATCTTTACAAACCAGACAAAGCCTCTGAGCAGCATGTCTGACTTCACAAACGATTTCCACGTCAATAGCTATGGCTAAACAACATCAATGAAGCAATTCTCGTATAACTGTGTCCTAAAATATCTGACGAAACTGAGAGTGTAGATATACCGGGAACATTATTCGCGAAGAAAAAATACTTTGTATTTGCAATATGGATTCATAGCAATAAGTGACACCAAAGAAATTTGTCCAGTTTGTCATAATAAACACTTAAAATGACTTAAATGATGCAATGAATTCTTAGAAACTTTTTCGAACACTGCGATTGTCTCGTCGACGACGGGATTGCGCTATATAGGGCCGTTGACTCAAATTTCAAATGATAATGAGTTAAAGAGCATCTTTGCGAAATATACTTTGGCGGTTTTTTGGTCTATAATCTTATATGAATACCCAGACGCATGCGACGCTGTTACCTTTGTCCTTATGTGAGGTCGGGTTTTCAATATTGACAACTACAAAAAGAAATACCAAAGTAGGCTGAACGTAAGAAACCCGTAACGTTTATCACTGTCAACCCATGTCTCCATATTGGGATCAGTTAATGGTCAGCAAACAAATGCAGATTTCGCCATAAATAGCATCACCTTTGTTTTGAATATATTGTCAACACAAAGGTGGTCCGCCACAATTATTGTCAGGCTTTACCGGTCCATCACTTAAAAAGAGGTTGCCGACCACTGCCCTATGCCATAGATCCTATGGCGAACGTCGACTATCCCAGTGATTTTCAACCTTTTTTGTATCGTGGAACACTTTTTTTAATCTAAAATTGTGGCGGAACACCAAACGAAATTTTGGGAAATAAACTATATTATGCAATTAACTGACATCGATCATTTGGGAATAAAATAAATTAACGAAATTAATAATATAGCTTGTCAACTTTAGCTGGAGAAGACGTGACACATTCCGATTCAGAGCTACAAGAATTAAAGTACGGTACAAATAAATGTTTTTGCGAGTTTGCTTATGCTTACTGTGATTATCTAGAAACAGAAATGGTATTTTAATGTGATATTTGGGTCTGTTTCGATGAGTTTCAAATATTTTATTCTGGCTGTAATTGAGGAGAGACAAACACGCAGCTCTTTCTCAACGGCTCTCGATTCTCGCGTTTTCTCTCCGAGAAGGTCGGAGGTCGATTTGGAAATTAATAGAAACATTAAAAATTGGCAACAAAGCAGTTTTTACTGTTAAATTTCGTAATAATCGCTACTTTTTTGCCCCCTGAACGTTTTCATATTACCGCCTTTGTTCTTGTGCGCAAGTATTAAATCTTGCCGATCGGCGGAGATCGAAGTTTCATATTTTGGTATAACTATATGCGTTCACATCGGCGACAGATGGTAATGACATTAAGAAGCGATTTTAAATTCCAACTCAATCTTATTCTGATTTTTATCGTTAATCACCTCAAGTTTTTTTTCTTTTCCAACAAAACAATACGCGACCATTATCATAGCTAGAATCGTTACCGGAAAATTCACAATTTTATTTACGGAAGTTGCAAATTCAACACATCACTTGACGATTTTGATGATGCCACGCCCTAATTATTACTACAAGAAAAGCTTCAAAATGCAACGAATGTAATCAACTACGATGATGACCTCATTCATGGTCGAGTATAATGTTCACATTTTTGAAACATTATTTGGTCAAGAATGGAATGGATCACTGAAAATACACGCCGAGATATTAGAAAGTCCATTAAAGAAAGTATGGCCTGTCATTTCTTATCTGGTTACGAGTTTTTTATACCGACTTTTCAAAACTCTGACTCGCCATTTTCAAATCGACGCTATTTATATTATTCGAATGACGTCATAATACTTCAAAAAAGCAATTTTTCGCGGAACACCTGGAGTATGGTGGCCCATCGTTGTCACGCGTAAAATTGAAAATAAAAATAAAAAATAAAATAAAAAACCGATAATAAAAAATTTTTTGTAAAAAAACATAAAAATAATTAAAAAAAATGAAAAAAAAAAAATTAAAATTAAAAAAAAAAAATTAAAAAAAAAAATTGAATAAAAAGAAAATAAAAAGGTTGACAACGATGGTCCGCCTCGTGGCCCATCGTTGTCACGCGTTTTTATTTTTAGAAAATTTGATGCTGCTTGGGACCAACGTTGTCAGGCATAATCCTACGCGCACAAATGTGTTCCCTGGGTTTCAAACTCACTACTGATTTTCTTGAGCAATATTCAATATGAAAATGTTCTATAAATTCTCCATGCTACAAGTTCAACAAGAAGTAATATATTTATAATAATGATAAGAGAATATAGAATTGAATACGAAAATTCGGAAAACTTGTTTTTACGTGTATAAGGTAATTTAATTGGAGAATGCTGCTTAACTACTCAGTTGTCTGGACACTCGCGATGCCGGTACCGTACCGTCTTACCAAATACCGGTAGTCGGTTATAGTCGCTTTGCGTCTGACCGTACCGGTAGCCATACAATCACTCATCATCTCCCATTCTTTCACGAGTGATTGCATGGGTACCGGTACGGTCAGACGATACCGTACCGGCATCGCACGAGTGTCTGAGCAGTTAAGCAGCATTTTCCAATTAAATTACCTTCTACACGTAAAAACAAATTTTCGTATCCAATTCTATATTCTCTTATCCTTATTATAAATATATTGCTTGTGGTTGAACTTGTAGCATGGAGAATTTGTAGAACATTTTCATGTTGAATTTATTGGATATTGGTCATGAAAATCAGTAGTGAGTTAGAAACCCAGGAAACACATTTGTGCGTGTAGGATTAAGTCTGACAACGTTGGTCCCAAGCAGCATCAAATTTTCTAAAAATAAAAATGACAACGATGGGCCACGAGGCGGACCATCGTTGTCAACCTTTTTATTTTTTTTATCCAATTTTTTTTTCAAATTTTTTTTTTTCAATTTTAATTTTTTGTTTGTTTTATTTTTCAATTTTTTTTTTAATTTAAATTTTTTTTTATTTTTTTTTTCAATTATTTTCATGTTTTTTCACAACTATTTTTTTATTTTCGCTTTTTCATTTTATTTTTCATTTTTTTTTTTAAATTTTACACGTGACAACGATGGGCCACCATACTGGAGGTCTCTCGCGGAACACTAGTGTTCCGCGGAACACCGGTTGAAAATCACTGGACTATCCTATAGCTTGTGTCAAGTGCAAAGATAGTATACGACGGATGCGAGACTATCCTATAGCCTTATAGCTGTTTGTGTCAAATGCAAAGATAGAATACGAAGGATGGTTCTGATTGGCTTTATACAACGATTCCATTTCAGTGATGTCGAAGCGGCGTGTAACCAAAATACCTAAACGCTCAACATCGCAATGTTACCACCACACACAATCGCACGAAAAAAGGGGATCCCCCAAAACAGAAACTGCGGTTTCGATCACATCGAAGACATGGCATTGTTACGCACACAATCGGTTTCGATTTCTTCTTTCTGAACCTCTAGCAAGACCGCGTATCCAATCACTAATTAATTAATAACTCGCTAATTATACGACATAATTCGCCCAAAATCAATAGGCGTCTGGTACGACATATGATAAATGCACATGCAAAATCTGCAGCAGATCCAATCTCACTTTCGTGAGATATCGCGTGCATCTAAGAGACAAACAGACAAATACCTATCAACATACTTACCGATTAAAATCGATAAGTAATAACGAGCCACGCTTTGAAAATGCAATGTTGAAGGCGTGCCAGCTTAAGATTTTACTGCGCTAATGGTTTTAGGTGGTATAGCGCGATATCGAAGGGAACCGCGGTGGTAGTAGCAGTAATGAGTTGTAATTGTCTTTTGTATCGAATTCGGTAACAAAACAGCAGAATCCCTCATTTCGTAAAAACTATGCCAAACTTATAGTTCTCGGCACGGCATTCTGATGACGGGTTAGCGTCAACCCTTCAATCCCGATGCTGGGGTCATTTCGAGAAGAGAAATGAAAAGGCTTGCACAGCGGAACACTTGATAATAAATACGATCAGACAGTCACGAATGTGGATTATAAAATATGTCGCAACATTTTTGTTTGCCTACAGTGAATTAAGTAATGTTCACGCGATGAGTGCAAATATTAGTCTTATTGGTTAAATACAACTTTATATTTATGCCTCGATGTAAAATCTAATATTGAGTTAACTGTGTTTTGCCGGAAAATATTCGTATTCAAATATTTTAGTTGAAGCGCATTTAAATAGATGCACCTGTGAATACAAAATGGCGACGCCAACACTTTCAGCTGTTCACGAGATGAATACAAATAGTTGTTCTGTTAGTTAAATAAGCCGACGATAATTTTATATTTATGCATTGATGCAAAATCTAATAATGAGTAAACTGTGTTTGCAGGAAATTTTTCGTATCTACTGTTTCAGTTTTGAGTTGAGTCGAGTCGCGTTTAAATAGCTACGCCTACGAATACAAAATGGCAACGCAAACTCTTTCAGCTGGCACCAACTATTCGAAAGGAATTCTTGTTTCAATCAGAGAAATGACAGAAACCTCTGACTTTACAATCAAAGTTGCCGGAAAATCATTTCCAGTCCATCGCAACGTAATAACAGCTGCATCAAGCTATTTTAGAGCGATGTTTTCAAGCAACATGAAGGAAGCCCAGCAAGGTTTAGCTGACATGAAAACTATAAAGCCCTCTATAATGGAGAAGTGTATCGACTTCATGTATACCGGCGAAGTCGAAGTTCAAATTGACGAGATTCAAGATATTCTGCATGCATCGAGCCTACTACAGTTGGATGCACTAACTGAACTTTCCTTTGAATATCTACAAGAGAATCTCTCGGTGAACAATTGCCTTGTTGCGGTATTCCTAGCCAAACTTTATGATCGAGTTAATTTACTGAACATAGCCGAAAAAATAGTTTATGATAAATTTGAAGAAGTGGTTTCCAAGACACTTTTTTCAGCCATTTCATGTGACGACATAACTCGCTATCTTTCTAAAGCAGAAGTAAGCCATGAAATAAAATGGAACGCAATTGTTACATGGCTTTCTGTTCGACATGAAGAAGTGGAACGTGCTCTACCAAAGCTAATGGATTCGATCAAAAACATCCCGGTCAATTGTTTGCTTGAAACGATTCTTAATGAACGAATGGTGTTCAAAAACAAACAGTTAGTGCAATGCGTCATTGGCCGTTTATTTTCAAGTATTGAAGAAATTAAAAAAAATATTAGTCTCGAAAATTTCATAAATTTGAGAAAAACGTGGAAAACGCAAAAAATGAAAATAGAAGGACAAGTAGCAAAAGTGATGAATGACTTTATGGCGGAAAGTTTTGAGGAGCTTGCCGAGAGAGATGATTTCGTCGAGTTAAATAAAGAAGAAATCTTTTTATTATTTCAATCACCGAAGATTAAATGTTCGTCCGAAATAATCAAGTGGGATGCAGCTTTTGAAATGGTCCAAGAATCATCCAAACAGTAAAAAAGTATTTCCAAAATTATTTAAATTAATAAAACTTGATGATCTTTTATTGGATTTCATCGGGGAAGTTGTTCGAACTGACCGTTTGTCAGGAATTCTCATGGTGTACCGTTATGTTGATGGATGCATTATGCGCACACGGGAAGCGTTTCAAAGAAACCCAGCTCTGTTGCATCACTAAGGAGGGATCCTCATCAGCACAATTGCCTTTTTAGACAAGAAAAGTGGTCAAATTAATACTTGGATCATTTCAGAGAAAACTTGGCATAAACTACCCGAAGTTAAATTCGGGTCGACATGCAGATTGTTAATGTCAACAACGATCTGTATGTATTAAGCGGATCTGAACTATTTCATTGGGGAGGGAACAATACATCCTGGTCTATTAAGGGTAATATAAGATGCAAATCTGGATATCGTAAACTTGTCGCTTTTCAAGACAACATATATCTAGTACAAGAGAAATTCACGCTGTGCTATGACCCCCTTGGTAATAGTTTCAAAGGCAATTTACCAAGGATGTGGATTAGGTTATGAGTTTTTGTGCGGTAGCAACAAGAGCGTACATTTATGCCATGGGTGGACTCCATACAGATCAAAAAGCAGAAAGATTTAATCCAGTCACACAAACTTGGTCACGACTTTGTCTAATGCGAAATTCAAGGCGCCACGCTTCAGCTGTGAATTCAATGGAAAAATTTATGTGATTGGGGGCTTTGATGGACATCGTGTATCCAACTCCGCGGAAAGGTATAACTTCGAAACCAACACATGGACGAGAGTAGCAAGGATGTGCGTTCCCCGATTGGATCTCTTCGCCTTTGTGGATGATAAAAGCATATTTGCAGTAGGGGAGAAAATGTTGATGGCGTTATAAACTCCGCTGAGGTCTATGACCGAATTCAAACCATTGGTCAACATACAATAGATGGGCTTCCAACGAAAGGTTCGCTTACAGGATGTGTTACTATATGTAAAATGTTAACATTTCCAATGAATTAACGCAAAATAACGTTATGCACGTAACTCAGATCGTTACTGGTTAGCAATGTTAATACAGCCGAGTGAGTTCCGGGATTCTATGTTCTACTGCTCTGCCCTTCATATGCATTCTCAGAATGTGATTTAATAATCGACTGAAGTCGCTGAAGAGTAATTAGTTTATATATATTCTATTATTATTCTGGATATTACTATATCATATCTCACATTGATTAGTAACATATTACTAATATGATAATCAATTCTGAAAACTATCACAAGTGTAGATTTAAAACCCCTTGGAACCTGAATCTAATAATATTGTTTGGCAATGTTTTCTTGAATGGGGTACTGCGCAAAAAACAAGGACCGTTCTGCAGCCATGGGGAACAACTAGCCTCCCTTTTGTTAGCTCATAAACTGCGGTTGCCATGGTTACCCCGCCTGTCGTGTCTGGAGTCGTTTGCGTATTGTCAATGTGTTTTCGGCATGCCTAAAAATAAACTACTAACTAGCATAATCAGACATTACCAATTTTTCATGTGTGTTCCTTGAGCTATCCGCTTATTTAATATCTACTATACAATATAATTTTGTTTATTTCCTGGTGTTTGTTTTTATACGTTGCTCCCGTGCGCAGATTTACCAAGCTACAAACGCATTTCTGTGGAATTCTGTCCCTTCATATTGTTAGATCTCAAGTTATAATGAACTCAGTGAATTTGTTTACTTCTGGGTCATCACAATTGAATTGATTTAGATTTTAGACAATAGCCTGGCATGTGTTATTTCACTAGAAAATATGTTACAGCAAAAGGTCCGCCACAGAGATCGATATAGCTTGACCTCGATTTGTTAAATTTACCCTAGTTTCGAATAATGCAATGTTATTCTTTGTAAATATGGGTATGTATTTGCACCAGTGCAGTGTTTGCCAAATCCACCGTCACCATCACATTTCAGTGCGATTTTGAACTCAAACCAAATTGAAATATCCTCACATGCGGGATTGGGTTAAATGATAATAGTGGTTCCATGCGTATCAGTGGCTGTCATCAAAGAGAAACGCTTGTTCGAAGTGAAAACACAATAAAATGTTACTGACACGTACAGGTTCCATTGTTTGCGACACCACTAGTAAATATGTATTGACTCGATACTTTTATCGCATATATACATATGTTCCACGTATTCAATGAAACACTGATCACACGAATATCGGCTTCACGACAGATGTAGCAGTACCTCATAACAGTACAATTGAATGATCTCTGGTTTTGAGTCAAAGTGTAGCCGTTTTCTAGTTAAAATCTATCTCGGCAAATAGACAGAATAGCAAACAGCATTGGGTATTACGCTAACAACATAGTATACTCGGAGATATTATTACATTAATTGAGTTTGGCGTTTTCTTACATAATGAATTGCACAGTTTGCAATAAAGAATCTATCTAAGGAAATCGAAATGATGTATGATAAATGTTTTTGAAATTCCGTTGCGATAAATTAAATATAGTTTAAAAGATGAGAGCAAATATAAACCACCTGACTTATATCATCATATATATCGCGTTACTAAATAACTGTATTATTTGCGCACATCAACTGAATTGCGCTTAGCGCAATGGTTTAAGTGGTGCTCTTGTAGAAAACTTTCCTCAAAAAGAAGACTCGTCGAAAGAAACATGAAAAAAAATTGTAAACAGTATTATTATTATGCAAGGGTATTGTTATTTCGGCATCACCGGCATTTTAAAAAATATTAAATACTTGCGCAAAGTAAACTTACGAGCCCGTAAATGTAAATTAAACGAGCGAGTAAACATTGACGCATAAAAGGGGTATACAGAGAGGTAGCATTTTGTTGTATCAAGATTGCCTATTACTGCCAAAGTAGCTGGATGTTGTACGACAGTTTACTAAACACAAGGACAATACCATGTATGAACATAATAGTCTTGGTTACTCCAGGATTTTGTTTATTTCAATGCAAGTTGGCTCATAGTCAAGTGTCGAGTCTGCAGCTTGTATTACTAATACAGCGTGTATTATTAATAAAAAGACCGATCAAACATGTATTTTATTCGAGTTGTTGTTAAAATATGATGGAAACGGTTTGAGTTGACATTGCCAGTACAACAGGGTGAAGTGAATTCCATACATCTGAAATTTCCAACAGATTGAATTTTTAACTTTTGAATTTCGACACTAATTCCGTTATTGTGTACTCCCGTAGTATGTGTACCTGGTTAGGGTTGGACCATAATTTTATTCCGATTTTCTTTATTATAGTTCTATTACAAGTTGGGGGACTGTCTCTGTTAGCCAAGTGAATGTCCCCCATGTCCATAGGTTTCAGTCTCTTTACACAACTTGATGTGAAATAGGCGAACAAAATTAGTTACCTCCATATTGGTACACATACTTCTGGAGCGCCCGTTATTGTACTAGCCAGGCAGACAATATTCTATATAATAGGACATGTCACAATAGTTAAATATATTATTAGAATGCGAACAAATTACATAAACTTTTAAGTGTAATAGCTTTTCTCTGTTTTCGTGCTTTTCCAATGTTTATACAATTTTTTCGGTGCTAACGAAGTATGTGCACCAAGATGGCGCACAACCTGAACCTAGTATGTGTACCAGTATGGAGTTATCAGGTTGTGCGCCATCCTGGTGCACATACTTCTGGAGCGCCCATTCTTCAATATGAAAATACGAGATAGCGATCGGAGACCGCCGACTTATCGATATTCCGCACGTTCAATATTTTACTCGACAATTTTGGCGGAGTACGATTTCACATGACTTATTCTCGTAAATTGTGCTTTATTGGTTGGCCACATTCTAAATAATTTAACCTGCTGAAACACACAGAACTGATCGTTTTCAGCCAATAGTCAATTTACCACCAAAAATGGCGCCAACATCCTATATTTTGTGTCAAGTACAACGGCGCTAACCGCAATTGCGACGGCTATTCAACCACAACCAAGCGATATTTTGGTGAAGAATTAGATTTGGTTTCAGCCAATAGCCTATGCCAGAGGTCGGCAACCACCGGGCCGCGGCCCATCGTCGGTCCGCAGAAAGATTATTACCGGCCCGCTGTAAAGTGGCCGAATAGCGTACAAAGCCCTAATAACATCTTTACAAACCAGACAAAGCCTCTGAGCAGCATGTCTGACTTCACAAACGATTTCCACGTCAATAGCTATGGCTAAACAACATCAATAAGCAATTCTCGTATAACTGTGTCCTAAAATATCTGACGAAACTGAGAGTGTAGATATACCGGGAACATTATTCGCGAAGAAAAAATACTTTGTATTTGCAATATGGATTCATAGCAATAAGTGACACCAAAGAAATTTGTCCAGTTTGTCATAATAACACTTAAAATGACTTAAATGATGCAATGAATTCTTAGAAACTTTTTCGAACACTGCGATTGTCTCGTCGACGACGGGATTGCGCTATATAGGGCCGTTGACTCAAATTTCAAATGATAATGAGTTAAAGAGCATCTTTGCGAAATATACTTTGGCGGTTTTTGGTCTATAATCTTATATGAATACCCAGACGCATGCGACGCTGTTACCTTTGTCCTTATGTGAGGTCGGGTTTTCAATATTGACAACTACAAAAAGAAATACCAAAGTAGGCTGAACGTAAGAAACCCGTAACGTTTATCACTGTCAACCATGTCTCCATATTGGGATCAGTTAATGGTCAGCAAAAAATGCAGATTTCGCCATAAATAGCATCACCTTTGTTTTGAATATATTGTCAACACAAAGGTGGTCCGCCACAATTATTGTCAGGCTTTACCGGTCCATCACTTAAAGAGGTTGCCGACACTGCCCTATGCCATAGATCCTATGGCGAACGTCGACTATCCAGTGATTTTCAACCTTTTTTGTATCGTGGAACACTTTTTTTAATCTAAAATTGTGGCGGAACACCAAACGAAATTTTGGGAAATAAACTATATTATGCAATTAACTGACATCGATCATTTGGGAATAAAATAAATTAACGAAATTAATAATATAGCTTGTCAACTTTAGCTGGAGAAGACGTGACACATTCCGATTCAGAGCTACAAGAATTAAAGTACGGTACAAAAATGTTTTTGCGAGTTTGCTTATGCTTACTGTGATTATCTAGAAACAGAAATGGTATTTTAATGTGATATTTGGGTCTGTTTCGATGAGTTTCAAATATTTTATTCTGGCTGTAATTGAGGAGAGACAAACACGCAGCTCTTTCTCAACGGCTCTCGATTCTCGCGTTTTCTCTCCGAGAAGGTCGGAGGTCGATTTGGAAATTAATAGAAACATTAAAAATTGGCAACAAAGCAGTTTTTACTGTTAAATTTCGTAATAATCGCTACTTTTTTGCCCCCTGAACGTTTTCATATTACCGCCTTTGTTCTTGTGCGCAAGTATTAAATCTTGCCGATCGGCGGAGATCGAAGTTTCATATTTTGGTATAACTATATGCGTTCACATCGGCGACAGATGGTAATGACATTAAGAAGCGATTTTAAATTCCAACTCAATCTTATTCTGATTTTTATCGTTAATCACCTCAAGTTTTAACGTTTTCTTTTCCAACAAAACAATACCGCGACCATTATCATAGCTAGAATCGTTACCGGAAAATTCACAATTTTATTTACGGAAGTTGCAAATTCAACACATCACTTGACGATTTTGATGATGCCACGCCCTAATTATTACTACAAGAAAAGCTTCAAAATGCAACGAATGTAATCAACTACGATGATGACCTCATTCATGGTCGAGTATAATGTTCACATTTTTGAAACATTATTTGGTCAAGAATGGAATGGATCACTGAAAATACACGCCGAGATATTAGAAAGTCCATTAAAGAAAGTATGGCCTGTCATTTCTTATCTGGTTACGAGTTTTTTTATACCGACTTTTCAAAAACTCTGACTCGCCATTTTCAAATCGACGCTATTTATATTATTCGAATGACGTCATAATACTTCAAAAAAGCAATTTTTCGCGGAACACCTGGAGTATATGGTGGCCCATCGTTGTCACGCGTAAAATTGAAAATAAAAATAAAAAATAAAATAAAAAACCGATAATAAAAAATTTTTGTAAAAAAACATAAAAATAATTAAAAAAATGAAAAAAAAAAATTAAAATTAAAAAAAAAAAATTAAAAAAAAAAATTGAATAAAAGAAAATAAAAAGGTTGACAACGATGGTCCGCCTCGTGGCCCATCGTTGTCACGCGTTTTTATTTTTAGAAAATTTGATGCTGCTTGGGACCAACGTTGTCAGGCATAATCCTACGCGCACAAATGTGTTCCCTGGGTTTCAAACTCACTACTGATTTTCTTGAGCAATATTCAATATGAAAATGTTCTATAAATTCTCCATGCTACAAGTTCAACAAGAAGTAATATATTTATAATAATGATAAGAGAATATAGAATTGAATACGAAAATTCGGAAAACTTTGTTTTTACGTGTATAAGGTAATTTAATTGGAGAATGCTGCTTAACTACTCAGTTGTCTGGACACTCGCGATGCCGGTACCGTACCGTCTTACCAAATACCGGTAGTCGGTTATAGTCGCTTTGCGTCTGACCGTACCGGTAGCCATACAATCACTCATCATCTCCCATTCTTTCACGAGTGATTGCATGGGTACCGGTACGGTCAGACGATACCGTACGGCATCGCACGAGTGTCTGAGCAGTTAAGCAGCATTTTCCAATTAAATTACCTTCTACACGTAAAAACAAATTTTCGTATCCAATTCTATATTCTCTTATCCTTATTATAAATATATTGCTTGTGGTTGAACTTGTAGCATGGAGAATTTGTAGAACATTTTCATGTTGAATTTATTGGATATTGGTCATGAAAATCAGTAGTGAGTTAGAAACCCAGGAAACACATTTGTGCGTGTAGGATTAAGTCTGACAACGTTGGTCCCAAGCAGCATCAATTTTCCTAAAAATAAAAACGCGTGACAACGATGGGCCACGAGGCGGACCATCGTTGTCAACCTTTTTATTTTCTTTTTATCCAATTTTTTTTTCAATTTTTTTTTTTTTCAATTTTAATTTTTTTGTTGTTTTATTTTTCAATTTTTTTTTAATTTAAATTTTTTTATTTTTTTTTTCAATTATTTCATGTTTTTTCACAACTATTTTTTTATTTCGCTTTTTCATTTTATTTTTTCATTTTTTTTTTAAATTTTACACGTGACAACGATGGGCCACCATACTGGAGGTCTCTCGCGGAACACTAGTGTTCCGCGGAACACCGGTTGAAAATCACTGGACTATCCTATAGCTTGTGTCAAGTGCAAAGATAGTATACGACGGATGCGAGACTATCCTATAGCCTTATAGCTGTTTGTGTCAAATGCAAAGATAGAATACGAAGGATGGTTCTGATTGGCTTTATACAACGATTCCATTTCAGTGATGTCGAAGCGGCGTGTAACCAAAATACCTAAACGCTCAACAACGCAATGTTACCACCACACACAATCGCACGAAAAAAGGGGATCCCCCAAAACAGAAACTGCGGTTTCGATCACATCGAAGACATGCATTGTTACCACACAATCGGTTTCGATTTCTTCTTTCTGAACCTCTAGCAAGACCGCGTATCCAATCACTAATTAATTAATAACTCGCTAATTATACGAACATAATTCGCCCAAAATCAATAGGCGTCTGGTACGACATATGATAAATGCACATGCAAAATCTGCAGCAGATCCAATCTCACTTTCGTGAGATATCGCGTGCATCTAAGAGACAAACAGACAAATACCTATCAACATACTTACCGATTAAATCGATAAGTAATAACGAGCCACGCTTTGAAAATGCAATGTTGAAGGCGTGCCAGCTTAAGATTTTACTGCGCTAATGGTTTTAGGTGGTATAGCGCGATATCGAAGGGAACCGCGGTGGTAGTAGCAGTAATGAGTTGTAATTGTCTTTTTGTATCGAATTCGGTAACAAAACAGCAGAATCCCTCATTTCGTAAAAACTATGCCAAACTTATAGTTCTCGGCACGGCATTCTGATGACGGGTTAGCGTCAACCCTTCAATCCCGATGCTGGGGTCCATTTCGAGAAGAGAAATGAAAAGGCTTGCACAGCGGAACACTTGATAATAAATACGATCAGACAGTCACGAATGTGGATTATAAAAATATGTCGCAACATTTTTGTTTGCCTACAGTGAATTAAGTAATGTTCACGCGATGAGTGCAAATATTAGTCTTATTGGTTAAATACAACTTTATATTTATGCCTCGATGTAAAATCTAATATTGAGTTAACTGTGTTTTGCCGGAAAATATTCGTATTCAAATATTTTAGTTGAAGCGCATTTAAATAGATGCACCTGTGAATACAAAATGGCGACGCCAACACTTTCAGCTGTTCACGAGATGAATACAAATAGTTGTTCTGTTAGTTAAATAAGCCGACGATAATTTTATATTTATGCATTGATGCAAAATCTAATAATGAGTAAACTGTGTTTGCAGGAAATTTTTCGTATCTGACTGTTTCAGTTTTGAGTTGAGTCGAGTCGCGTTTAAATAGCTACGCCTACGAATACAAAATGGCAACGCAAACTCTTTCAGCTGGCACCAACTATTCGAAAGGAATTCTTGTTTCAATCAGAGAAATGACAGAAACCTCTGACTTTACAATCAAAGTTGCCGGAAAATCATTCCCAGTCCATCGCAACGTAATATCAGCTGCATCAAGCTATTTTAGAGCGATGTTTTCAAGCAACATGAAGGAAGCCCAGCAAGGTTTTGCTGACATGAAAACTATAAAGCCTTCTATATTGGAGAAGTGTATCGACTTCATGTATACCGGTGAAGTCAAAGTTCAAATTGACGAGATTCAAGATATTCTGCATGCATCGAGCCTACTACAGTTGGATGCACTAACTGAACTTTCCTTTGAATATCTACAAGAGAATCTCTCGGTGAACAATTGCCTTGTTGCGGTATTCTTAGCCAAACTATATGATCGAGTTAATTTACTGAACATAGCTGAAAAAATAGTTTATGATAAATTTGAAGAAGTGGTTTCCACAGACACTTTTTCAGCCATTTCATGTGACGACATAACTCGCTATCTTTCTAAAGCAGAAGTAAGCCATGAAATAAAATGGAACGCAATTGTTACATGGCTTTCTGTTCGACATGAAGAAGTGGAACGTGCTCTACCAAAGCTAATGGATTCGATCAAAAACATCCCGGTCAATTGTTTGCTTGAAACGATTCTTAATGAACGAATGGTGTTCAAAAACAAACAGTTAGTGCAATGCGTCATTGGCCGTTTATTTTCAAGTATTGAAGAAATTAAAAAAAATATTAGTCTCGAAAATTTCATAAATTTGAGAAAAACGTGGAAAACGCAAAAAATGAAAATAGAAGGACAAGTAGCAAAAGTGATGAATGACTTTATGGCGGAAAGTTTTGAGGAGCTTGCCGAGAGAGATGATTTCGTCGAGTTAAATAAAGAAGAAATCTTTTTATTATTTCAATCACCGAAGATTAAATGTTCGTCCGAAATAATCAAGTGGGATGCAGCTTTGAAATGGTCCAAGAATCATCCAAACAGTAAAAAAGTATTTCCAAAATTATTTAAATTAATAAAACTTGATGATCTTTTATTGGATTTCATCGGGGAAGTTGTTCGAACTGAACCGCTTGTCAGGAATTCTCATGGATGTACCGTTATGTTGATGGATGCATTATGCGCACACGGAAGCGTTTCAAAGAAACCCAGCTCTGTTGCATCACTAAGGAGGGATCCTCATCAGCACATTGCCTTTTTAGACAAGAAAAGTGGTCAAATTAATACTTGGATCATTTCAGAGAAAACTTGGCATAAACTACCCGAAGTTAAATTCGGAGTCGACATGCAGATTGTTAATGTCAACAACGATCTGTATGTATTAAGCGGATCTGAACTATTTCATTGGGGAGGGAACAATACATCCTGGTCTATTAAGGGTAATATAAGATGCAAATCTGGATATCGTAAACTTGTCGCTTTTCAAGACAACATATATCTAGTACAAGAGAAATTCACGCTGTGCTATGACCCCCTTGGTAATAGTTTCAAAGGCAATTTACCAGGATGTGGATTAGGTTATGAGTTTTGTGCGGTAGCAACAAGAGCGTACATTTATGCCATGGGTGGACTCCATACAGATCAAAAAGCAGAAAGATTTAATCCAGTCACACAAACTTGGTCACGACTTTGTCTAATGCGAAATTCAAGGCGCCACGCTTCAGCTGTTGAATTCAATGGAAAAATTTATGTGATTGGGGGCTTTGATGGACATCGTGTATCCAACTCCGCGGAAAGGTATAACTTCGAAACCAACACATGGACGAGAGTAGCAAGGATGTGCGTTCCCCGATTGGATCTCTTCGCCTTTGTGGATGATAAAAGCATATTTGCAGTAGGGGGAGAAAATGTTGATGGCGTTATGAACTCCGCTGAAGTCTATGATCCGAATTCAAACCATTGGTCAACTATAACAATAGATGGGCTTCCAACGAAAGGTTCGCTTACAGGATGTGTTTACTATATTCAAAATGCTAACATTTCCGATGAAGTAACGCAAAATAACGTTATGCACGTAACTCAGATCGTTACTGGTTAGCAATGCAATACAGCCGAGTGAGTTCCGGTATTCTATGTTCTACTGCTCTGCCCTTCATATGCATTCTCAGAATGTGATTTAATAATCGACTGAAGTCGCTGAAGAGTAAACTCATAGTTTATATATATTCTATTATTATTCTGGTATATTACTATATCATATCTCACATTGATTAGTTAACATTTATCCTAATATGATAATCAATTCTGAAAACTATCACAAATGTAGATTTAAAACCCCCTTGGAACCTGAATCTAATAATATTGTTTGGCAATGTCTTCTTGAATGGGGTACTGCGCAAAAAACAAGGACCGTACTGCAGCCATGGGGGAACAACTAGCCTCCCTTTTGTTAGCTCATAAACTGCGGTTGCCATGGTTACCCCGCCTGTCGTGTCTGGAGTCGTTTGCGTATTGTCAATGTGTTTTCGGCATGCCTAAAAATAAACTACTAACTAGCATAATCAGACATTACCAATTTTTCATGTGTGTTCCTTGAGCTATCCGCTTATTTAATATCTACTATACAATATAATTTTGTTTATTTCCTGGTGTTTGTTTTTATACGTTGCTCCCGTGCGCAGATTTACCAAGCTACAAACGCATTTCTGTGGAATTCTGTCCCTTCATATTGTTAGATCTCAAGTTATAATGAACTCAGTGAATTTGTTTACTTCTGGGTCATCACAATTGAATTGATTTAGATTTTAGACAATAGCCTGGCATGTGTTATTTCACTAGAAAATATGTTACAGCAAAAGGTCCGCCACAGAGATCGATTATAGCTTGACCTCGATTTGTTAAATTTACCCTAGTTTCGAATAATGCAATGTTATTCTTTGTAAATATGGGTATGTATTTGCACCAGTGCAGTGTTTGCCAAATCCACCGTCACCATCACATTTCAGTGCGATTTTGAACTCAAACCAAATTGAAATATCCTCACATGCGGGATTGGGTTAAATGATAATAGTGGTTCCATGCGTATCAGTGGCTGTCATCAAAGAGAAACGCTTGTTCGAAGTGAAAACACAATAAAATGTTACTGACACGTACAGGTTCCATTGTTTGCGACAACCACTAGTAAATATGTATTGACTCGATACTTTTATCGCATATATACGTATGTTCCACGTATTCAATGAAACACTGATCACACGAATATCGGCCCTTCACGACAGATGTAGCAGTACCTCATAACAGTACAATTGAATGATCTCTGGTTTTGAGTCAAAGTGTAGCCGTTTTCTAGTTAAAATCTATCTCGACAAATAGACAGAATAGCAAACAGCATTGGGTATTACGCTAACAACATAGTATACTCGGAGATATTATTACATTAATTGAGTTTGGCGTTTTCTTACATAATGAATTGCACAGTTTGCAATAAAGAATCTATCTAAGGAAATCGAAATGATGTATGATAAAATGTTTTTGAAATTCTGTTGCGATAAATTAAATATAGTTTAAAAGATGAGAGCAAATATAAACCACCTGACTTATATCATCATATATATCGCGTTACTAAATAACTGTATTATTTGCGCACATCAACTGAATTGCGCTTAGCGCAATGGTTTAAGTGGTGCTCTTGTAAAAAACTTTCCTTCAAAAAGAAGACTCGTCGAAAGAAACATGAAAAAAATTGTAAACAGTATTATATATTATGCAAGGGTATTGTTATTTCGGCATCACCGGCATTTTAAAAAATATTAAATACTTGCGCAAAGTAAACTTACGAGCCCGTAAATGTAATTAAACGAGCGAGTAAACATTGACGCATAAAGGGGTATACAGAGAGGTAGCATTTTGTTGTATCAAGATTGCCTATTACTGCCAAAGTAGCTGGGATGTTGTACGACAGTTTACTAAACACAAGGACAATACCATGTATGACATAATAGTCTTTGGTTACTCCAGGATTTTGTTTATTTCAATGCAAGTTGGCTCATAGTCAAGTGTCGAGTCTGCAGCTTGTATTACTAATACAGCGTGTATTATTAATAAAAAGACCGATCAAACATGTATTTTATTCGAGTTGTTGTTAAAATATGATGGAAACGGTTGAGTTGACATTGCCAGTACAACAGGGTGAAGTGAATTCCATACATCTGAAATTTCCAACAGATTGAATTTTTAACTTTTGAATTTCGACACTAATTCCGTTATTGTGTACTCCCGTAGTATGTGTACCTGGTTAGGGTTGGACCATAATTTTATTCCGATTTTCTTTATTATAGTTCTATTACAAGTTGGGGGACTGTCTCTGTTAGCCAAGTGAATGTCCCCCATGTCCATAGGTTTCAGTCTCTTTACACAACTTGATGTGAAATAGGCGAACAAAATTAGTTACCTCCATATTGGTACACATACTTCTGGAGCGCCCGTTATTGTACTAGCCAGGCAGACAATATTCTATATAATAGGACATGTCACAATAGTTAATTATATTATTAGAATGCGAACAAATTACATAAACTTTTAAGTGTAATAGCTTTTCTCTGTTTTCGTGCTTTTCCAATGTTTATACAATTTTTTCGGTGCTAACGAAGTATGTGCACCAAGATGGCGCACAACCTGAACCTAGTATGTGTACCAGTATCGAGTTATCAGGTTGTGCGCCATCCTGGTGCACATACTTCTGGAGCGCCCATTATTCAATATGAAAATACGAGATAGCGATCGGAGACCGCCGACTTATCGATATTCCGCACGTTCAATATTTTACTCGACAATTTTGGCGGAGTACGATTTCACATGACTTATTCTCGTAAATTGTGCTTTATTGGTTGGCCACATTCTAAATAATTTAACCTGCTGAAACACACAGAACTGGATCGTTTTGATCAGTTTTCAGCCAATAGTCAATTTACCACCAAAAATGGCGCCAACTATCCTATATTTTGTGTCAAGTACAACGGCGCTAACCGCAATTGCGACGGCTATTCAACCACAACCAAGCGATATTTTGGTGAAGAATTAGATTTGGTTTCAGCCAATAGCCTATGCCAGAGGTCGGCAACCACCGGGCCGCGGCCCATCGTCGGTCCGCAGAAAGATTATTACCGGCCCGCTGTAAAGTGGCTGAATAGCGTACAAAGCCCTAATAACATCTTTACAAACCAGACAAAGCCTCTGAGCAGCATGTCTGACTTCACAAACGATTTCCACGTCAATAGCTATGGCTAAACATACATCAATGAAGCAATTCTCGTATAACTGTGTCCTAAAATATCTGACGAAACTGAGAGTGTAGATATACCGGGAACATTATTCGCGAAGAAAAAATGCTTTGTATTTGCAATATGGATTCATAGCAATAAGTGACACCAAAGAAATTTGTCCAGTTTGTCATAATAAACACTTAAAATGACTTAAATGATGCAATGAATTCTTAGAAACTTTTTCGAACACTGCGATTGTCTCGTCGACGACGGGATTGCGCTATATAGGGCCGTTGACTCAAATTTCAAATGATAATGAGCATCTTTGCGAAATATACTTTGGCGGTTTTTTGGTCTATAATCTTATATGAATACCCAGACGCATGCGACGCTTCTACCTTTGTCCTTATGTGAGGTCGGTGAGGTTTTCAATATTGACAACTACAAAAAGAAATACCAAAGTAGGCTGAACGTAAGAAACCCGTAACGTTTATCACTGTCAACTATGTCTCCATATTGGGATCAGTTAATGGTCAGCAAACAAATGCAGATTTCGCCATAAATAGCATCACCTTTGTTTTGAATATATTGTCAACACAAAGGTGGTCCGCCACAATTATTGTCAGGCTTTACCGGTCCATCACTTGAAAGAGGTTGCCGAACACTGCCCTATGCCATAGATCCTATGGCGAACGTCGACTATCCCAGTGATTTTCAACCTTTTTTGTATCGTGGAACACTTTTTTTAATCTAAAATTGTGGCGGAACACCAAACGAAATTTTGGGAAATAAACTATATTATGCAATTAACTGACATCGATCATTTGGGAATAAAATAAATTAACGAAATTAATAATATAGCTTGTCAACTTTAGCTGGAGAAGACGTGACACATTCCGATTCAGAGCTACAAGAGTTAAAGTACGGTACAAAAAAATGTTTTTGCGAGTTTGCTTATGCTTACTATGATTATCTAGAAACAGAAATGGTATTTTAATGTGATATTTGGGTCTGTTTCGATGAGTTTCAAATATTTTATTCTGGCTGTAATTGAGGAGAGACAAACACGCAGCTCTTTCTCAACGGCTCTCGATGTCTCGCGTTTTCTCTCCGAGAAGGTCGGAGGTCGATTTGGAAATTAATAGAAACATTAAAAATTGGCAACAAAGCAGTTTTTACTGTTAAATTTCGTCATAATCGCTACTTTTTTGCCCCCTGAACGTTTTCATATTACCGCCTTTGTTCTTGTGCGCAAGTATTAATTCTTGCCGATCGGCGGAGATCGAAGTTTCATATTTTGGTATAACTATATGCGTTCACATCGGCGACAGATGGTAATGACATTAAGAAGCGATTTTAAATTCCAACTCAATCTTATTCTGATTTTTATCGTTAATCACCTCAAGTTTTAACGTTTTCTTTTCCAACAAAACAATACAGCGACCATTATCATAGCTAGAATCGTTACCGGAAAATTCACAATTTTATTTACGGAAGTTGCAAATTCAACACATCACTTGACGATTTTGATGATGCCACGCCCTAATTATTACTACAAGAAAAGCTTCAAAATGCAACGAATGTAATCAACTACGATGATGACCTCATTCATGGTCGAGTATAATGTTCACATTTTTGAAACATTATTTGGTCAAGAATGGAATGGATCACTGAAAATACACGCCGATATATTAGAAAGTCCATTAAAGAAAGTATGGCCTGTCATTTCTTATCTGGTTACGAGTTTTTTATACCGACTTTTCAAAACTCTGACTCGCCATTTTCAAATCGACGCTATTTATATTATTCGAATGACGTCATAATACTTCAAAAAAGCAATTTTTCGCGGAACACCTGGAGTATGGTGGCCCATCGTTGTCACGCGTAAAATTGAAAATAAAAATAAAAAATAAAATAAAAAACCGATAATAAAAAATTTTTTGTAAAAAAACATAAAAATAATTAAAAAAAATGAAAAAAAAAAATTAAAATTAAAAAAAAAAAAATTAAAAAAAAAAATTGAATAAAAAGAAAATAAAAAGGTTGACAACGATGGTCCGCCTCGTGGCCCATCGTTGTCACGCGTTTTTATTTTTAGAAAATTTGATGCTGCTTGGGACCAACGTTGTCAGGCATAATCCTACGCGCACAAATGTGTTCCCTGGGTTTCAAACTCACTACTGATTTTCTTGAGCAATATTCAATATGAAAATGTTCTATAAATTCTCCATGCTACAAGTTCAACAAGAAGTAATATATTTATAATAATGATAAGAGAATATAGAATTGAATACGAAAATTCGGAAAATTTGTTTTTACGTGTATAAGGTAATTTAATTGGAGAATGCTGCTTAACTACTCAGTTGTCTGGACACTCGCGATGCCGGTACCGTACCGTCTTACCAAATACCGGTAGTCGGTTATAGTCGCTTTGCGTCTGACCGTACCGGTAGCCATACAATCACTCATCATCTCCCATTCTTTCACGAGTGATTGCATGGGTACCGGTACGGTCAGACGATACCGTACCGGCATCGCACGAGTGTCTGAGCAGTTAAGCAGCATTTTCCAATTAAATTACCTTCTACACGTAAAAACAAATTTTCGTATCCAATTCTATATTCTCTTATCCTTATTATAAATATATTGCTTGTGGTTGAACTTGTAGCATGGAGAATTTGTAGAACATTTTCATGTTGAATTTATTGGATATTGGTCATGAAAATCAGTAGTGAGTTAGAAACCCAGGAAACACATTTGTGCGTGTAGGATTAAGTCTGACAACGTTGGTCCCAAGCAGCATCAAATTTTCTAAAAATAAAAATACGATGGGCCACGAGGCGGACCATCGTTGTCAACCTTTTTATTTTCTTTTTATCCAATTTTTTTTTCAAATTTTAATTTTTTTGTTTGTTTTATTTTTCAATTTTTTTTTTTAATTTAAATTTTTTTTTATTTTTTTTTTTCAATTATTTTCATGTTTTTTCACAACTATTTTTTTATTTTCGCTTTTTCATTTTATTTTTTCATTTTTTTTTTTAAATTTTACACGTGACAACGATGGGCCACCATACTGGAGGTCTCTCGCGGAACACTAGTGTTCCGCGGAACACCGGTTGAAAATCACTGGACTATCCTATAGCTTGTGTCAAGTGCAAAGATAGTATACGACGGATGCGAGACTATCCTATAGCCTTATAGCTGTTTGTGTCAAATGCAAAGATAGAATACGAAGGATGGTTCTGATTGGCTTTATACAACGATTCCATTTCAGTGATGTCGAAGCGGCGTGTAACCAAAATACCTAAACGCTCAACATCGCAATGTTACCACCACACACAATCGCACGAAAAAAGGGGATCCCCCAAAACAGAAACTGCGGTTTCGATCACATCGAAGACATGGCATTGTTACGCACACAATCGGTTTCGATTTCTTCTTTCTGAACCTCTAGCAAGACCGCGTATCCAATCACTAATTAATTAATAACTCGCTAATTATACGACATAATTCGCCCAAAATCAATAGGCGTCTGGTACGACATATGATAAATGCACATGCAAAATCTGCAGCAGATCCAATCTCACTTTCGTGAGATATCGCGTGCATCTAAGAGACAAACAGACAAATACCTATCAACATACTTACCGATTAAAATCGATAAGTAATAACGAGCCACGCTTTGAAAATGCAATGTTGAAGGCGTGCCAGCTTAAGATTTTACTGCGCTAATGGTTTTAGGTGGTATAGCGCGATATCGAAGGGAACCGCGGTGGTAGTAGCAGTAATGAGTTGTAATTGTCTTTTGTATCGAATTCGGTAACAAAACAGCAGAATCCCTCATTTCGTAAAAACTATGCCAAACTTATAGTTCTCGGCACGGCATTCTGATGACGGGTTAGCGTCAACCCTTCAATCCCGATGCTGGGGTCATTTCGAGAAGAGAAATGAAAAGGCTTGCACAGCGGAACACTTGATAATAAATACGATCAGACAGTCACGAATGTGGATTATAAAAATATGTCGCAACATTTTTGTTTGCCTACAGTGAATTAAGTAATGTTCACGCGATGAGTGCAAATATTAGTCTTATTGGTTAAATACAACTTTATATTTATGCCTCGATGTAAAATCTAATATTGAGTTAACTGTGTTTTGCCGGAAAATATTCGTATTCAAATATTTTAGTTGAAGCGCATTTAAATAGATGCACCTGTGAATACAAAATGGCGACGCCAACACTTTCAGCTGTTCACGAGATGAATACAAATAGTTGTTCTGTTAGTTAAATAAGCCGACGATAATTTTATATTTATGCATTGATGCAAAATCTAATAATGAGTAAACTGTGTTTGCAGGAAATTTTTCGTATCTTACTGTTTCAGTTTTGAGTTGAGTCGAGTCGCGTTTAAATAGCTACGCCTACGAATACAAAATGGCAACGCAAACTCTTTCAGCTGGCACCAACTATTCGAAAGGAATTCTTGTTTCAATCAGAGAAATGACAGAAACCTCTGACTTTACAATCAAAGTTGCCGGAAAATCATTTCCAGTCCATCGCAACGTAATAACAGCTGCATCAAGCTATTTCAGAGCGATGTTTTCAAGCAACATGAAAGAAGCCCAGCAAGGTTTAGCTAACATGAAAACTATAAAGCCCTCTATAATGGAGAAGTGTATCGACTTCATGTATACCGGCGAAGTCGAAGTTCAAATTGACGAGATTCAAGATATTCTGCATGCATCGAGCCTACTACAGTTGGATGCACTAACTGAACTTTCCTTTGAATATCTACAAGAGAATCTCTCGGTGAACAATTGCCTTGTTGCGGTATTCCTAGCCAAACTTTATGATCGAGTTAATTTACTGAACATAGCCGAAAAAATAGTTTATGATAAATTTGAAGAAGTGGTTTCTACAGACACTTTTTCAGCCATTTCATGTGACGACATAACTCGTTATCTGTCTAAAGCAGAAGAAAGCCATGAAATAAAATGGAACGCAATTGTTACATGGCTTTCTGTTCGACATGAAGAAGTGGAACGTACTCTACCAAAGCTAATGAATTCGATCAAAAACATCCCGGTCAATTGTTTGCTTGAAACGATTCTTAATGAACGAATGGTGTTCAAAAACAAACAGTTAGTGCAATGCGCCATTGGCCGTTTATTTTCAAGTATTGAAGAAATTAAAAAAAATGTTAGTCTCGAAAATTTCATAAATTTGAGAAAAACGTGGAAAACACAAAAGATAAAAATAGAAGGTCAAGTTGCAAAAGTGATGAATGACTTTTTGGCGGAAAGTTTTGAGCAGCTTGCCGAGAGAGATGATTTCGTCGAGTTAAATAAAGAAGAAATCTTTTTATTATTTCAATCCCCGAAGATTAAATGTTCGTCCGAAATAATCAAATGGGATGCAGCTTTGAAATGGTCCAAGAATCATCCAAACAGTAAAAAAGTATTTCCAAAATTATTTAAATTAATAAAACTTGATGATCTTTCATTGGATTTCATCGGGGAAGTTGTTCGAACTGAACCGCTCGTCAGGAATTCTCATGGATGTACTGTTATGTTGATGGATGCATTATGCGCACACGGAAGCGTTTCAAAGAAACCCAGCTCTGTTGCATCACTAAGGAGGGATCCTCATCAGCACATTGCCTTTTTAGACAAGAAAAGTGGTCAAATTAATACTTGGATCATTTCAAAGAAAACTTGGCATAAACTACCCGAAGTTAAATTTGGAGTCGACATGCAGATTGTTAATGTCAACAACGATCTGTATGTATTAAGCGGATCTAAACTATTTCATTGAAGAGGGGATACATCCTGGTCCATTAAGGGTAATATAAGATGCAAATCTGGATATCGTAAACTTGTCGCTTTTCAAGACAACATATATCTAGTACAAGAAAAATTCACGCTGTGCTATGACCCCCTTGGTAATAGTTTCAAAGACAATTTACCAGGATGTGGATTAGTTTATGGGTTTTGTGCGGTAGCAACAAGCGCGTTCATTTATGCCATGGGTGGACTCTTTTCAGATCGAAGAGTAGAAAAATTTAACCCAGTCACAAAAACTTGGACAAGACTTTCTCCAATGCTAAATCCAAGGCGCCACGCTGCAGCAGTTGAATTCAATGGAAAAATTTTTGTTATCGGAGGCGAGGATGGACATCGTGTATCCCACTCTGTCGAAAGTTATAACTTCGAAACCAATACATGGACGGAAGTAGCAAGGATGTGCGTTCCTCGATGGGATCTCTTCGCCGTTGTGGATGATAAAAACATATTTGCAGTAGGGGGAGGAAATACTGATGGCTCGACCAACTCTGCTGAAGTCTATGATCCGAATTCAAACCATTGGTCAACTTTACAAATAGATGGGCTTCCAACGAAAAGTTCGCTTACAGGATGTGTTTACTTTATGTAAAATATTATAAACGAATCGATGCAGAACATCGCTCGCCAATAACTCAGTTCGTTACTGATTCTCAACGCTATAATTGCACTGTGTAATCTTCGACTCTGGCCTTTAATATAAGAAGTCGCTGAAGAGTTGCTTTTATTAACCTCGTAGTTCATTTCCTATCTCGTATTGATTAGTCAGCATACATCCTAATGTGATGAATAATTCCGAAAACTGCATAATCATATACATTACCAACTTATATGTGTATTTTTAAGCTACCCGCTTATTTAATATTTAACAGACTACAACCGCATTTCTGTGAAATTTTTATTGTCAGATCTAGGTGTGGGCAAAATCAAATATTTTTTCGAATCGCATAGTTCGAATAATTTTTACGAATATCGAATTCATTTTTTAAATACAACAGGGGTCCAGGACGTCAGAGGTCGATACTACCTTCGAAATTAAAAGAAACGTTGAAAGGTCGGCAACGATGCGTTTTTTTTACTCGTTCAATTCATCAAAATCTCTAATTGTTTTTGTCATCGTTTTGGCTGCGATATCCTAAAGTTGGTTATCTATATTCCCGTCTGGCATATCCGTGCGTTCACATCGGCAACAGTTCTTGAAGGCAAGAAGGACTGATTTTAAAACCCAAATTAATTTTATACTGATTTTTATCTTTTGTGTAGGCTTTGATCTTACTTATCACCGTTTGTATATTATTAACCGTCCGAGTTTAAAGCGAACGGTAATATTATTATCGACACCGTGATGGAGATATTTAAAGACGATGATTGACTTTCTTATGCTTTGCACCTGCGATTGCGCGAATCCAGAATTCGATTTATAAAAATGATTGAATAAATCGGCCGTTATGCATTTCTACTTGTCATAAGGCTTTCGGTCGGACGCTAATTATAACTACCGGTATTTCCCTCAAGTTTTAACTTTTTTTTTTCTTGAAATAAAACAATACCCCGACGGTTATTATAGCTAAAATCGTTACCGACTAACTCACAATTTTATCTACGGAATTTGCGACCTCAGCACTTTAATCGACGATTTTGATAGTGTCACGCTATAATTATTACCGCTTAAATGCTTCAAAATACCACACATGTAATAATTTATGATAATAATTGGCGCAACTATTTGTAAACGAGCTAATGTGTGCTGTTACGACGAAATCCACGATTGAATTTACGTGGTAGTCTTGTTTACAATTTCACCCTCCTTCGGCCATGCATTGTCGAGTAAAATGTTCACATTTTCGAAACATAACAAGGATGGAATGGATTACTAAAGAACTAATAGAAAGTACATTAGGAAACACTTTGACTTGTCAATTGCAAATCCATGCTATTTATATAAATCGTCATTAACGTCCTTTTAACTTTTAATTTGAATCAATATTATGTTCGGTCACAACATTTCACCGGGCATACGGAGTACAGAATCTGAAAAATTTATTTTAAATCAATCCTATCTGGTTTGACGTTAATAAATGTACGGAACGGTCGGTGCGTTTTTTGCAAGATAGGGAATTGAAACGATACGTTAGGCGCAAAAAGGAGGCAAATAACGCAAAGACAGCGACTTCCAAAATTTGTCGCTTTTGTCTGTTAGCGAACGCCGTGGGTGAATTTTCGCGCAATTCACGATTGACGAGACGCGCGAGTTCCGTGTCGAAGCCAACGCGCGCAGTTCACGTGGTACCGGATATTCGAATAGTAAAATGACATTCGATATTCTTTATTCGAATATTTTGCCCAGCCCTAGTCAGATCTCAAGTTAAAAATGAACTCAGTGAAATTGCATATTTTCTTCCAATACAACAATACTGAATGGATTTGCGAAAGTCGCACGATACCAACACAAGTAAATGAAGATTGAGCTCGGAGGTGTGGCGCATCACTTCATATTTTAGCTTAAATAGTGCACTATTCGGTGCTTCTAAAGTATGCGTACCAAGATGGCACACGCCGGAACGTAGTATGTGTGCCAGGTAAGGCCACAATTTTTATCCAATTGTCTTTTTTTTAGTTCTATTTCGAGTTCGGGGACTAGCCAAGTGACTCACGCAGTATTCGACGTAAATTATGGCCTATCCCTAACCCGGTACACATATTAAGTTCCGGTGTCCGCCATCTTGCTACGCATACTTAAGGAGTATCCGATATTCTAATGCTATGTGAAGGTGTCTACGCCTTAATAACGGGTTTCAAGTGAGACAGTATGTTTTTTCGTATTTTCCATCTCTGAAAAATCTTGAACGAACAATAACAGACCATGCACAGAGTTGTTTTTGTTCTTCACGTTATGCGGGTGACATGGGGATAACTGTCTGTAAACGTCCGAAGTTACGTTACAAATTGTAAGATTCAAAAACTGAGAGGATATCCCGAAAACTCGACTGACCTAAACCAGAGACGCGGATAAAACCCCTTTGCTTTGAAAAGATACGATATAACATGAAACCTGGTCGTCCAGGTGTATGATTATAATTTTAAATTTTTTTAATAAAAAAAATTTTCCGAAAAAAAAAAGATACGCCATATATTTTCATAAGAGAAGTAAGATCAAGTTAATCGACATGGGTATTGTTTCGAAAGTCGACCAAATGTCAATAAAAGCATCGTTTAGTTAATTCTCATGTCTGAGGTTCGTTGCTTTTCTTTGTTCTTCAGAAATGAACCGTTTCCGAAAAAGTTAAAAAAATGCTATTTTAACTAATACCGTGTTTCCCCGAAAATAAGACCTACCGCGAAAATAAGACCTAGACTGAATTTTGAGAATGATTTTAATATAAGCCCTCCCCTTGAAGTGAGACCTAGTCCTAGTCAATAACGCGAATTTTATGTACCTTGTCAATAGCAAGAAGCCTTTCCCATACGTTTTAAATGATTAATCTAAAACGTGTGAGATAGGAAAAGGTGGCATTTAAGTAAATGGATATCGGTTTTCATTTGAAAATCTCTTAATTCTGTACGTTCTAATTTTGATTTTGTTAAATAAAATTATAGGACATCCCCCGAAAATAAGCCCTAGCGTTATTTTTAAAAAGAAAATTGAAAAAGGACACTGTCTTATTTTCGGGGAAACACGGTATTAGTTTAATCTATCGAATTTGACTCTAATTTATCAGTAAATTACTATTCTATACAACTGTGCGCCAACTGTGCGAGAAGGGCTTGTGTTTAGATTCACTTCTGTTTTACTGCGTTAATTGTCAGGTGTTTTGGTTCACTCCTGATTTACTGTGTTAAGATTTAAATGTGTTTCAATTTTATCTGTTTTCGGAATTTTGGATTGTGCATCTTCCTACAATATACAACAACGAATAGTATCAACACTGTGTGCTTATTATCGTCTGAAGGAATCCAGATTGGAGTCACATTCCATAACGCGTGTCAAAGCAATAACGCGGGAATTGAACTTAAACATATAGGGTGATAGTCTTTATCCCTAAAATCCACCATCATCAACTTCAGCACCTCTTTATCCCTATAGTATAATTAAAAAGAATAATTAAAATCTTGCAAATACATAAACGGAGGCGATTTTTTAAGAACGGAACAATATCAAACATAGTACTATAACTATGGGGAAAAACGACGTTGAAAAGAATAAAGGACATTAAGCATTTTTTCTAAATGGTAAAAAGGACCACCAGGTACTTCTACAAACTCCGTAAAATAGAGTTAACTACCAAATTTAAATGATCATCTCGGCGGTGTGACGCATCGTGCTAAACGTTAGGATTACGCACATCGCATCTCTGATTCGCAGGTTCGAATCCCATGCGGGGATAATTATGAGCGAGATGATTGCTGGACTCGCCGTGCAGGGTGGTTCGAGTGACCGCTGGTCGATTACGGCTTTCACTACCGTCGAGTCCATGTTTCCGGAAACAAATAAGAGTCGACTCGTATGTCCTAAAATGCAAATTGTATTAGATTGAAAATGATAGGGTGCTTAGTGCTTACAGTGTCAAAAATAGTACTTTAGCAGGTTCGAATCCCATGCGGGGATAATTATGAGCGAGATGATTGCTGGACTCGCCGTGCAGGGTGGTTCGAGTGACCGCTGGTCGATTACGGCTTTCACTACCGTCGAGTCCAAGTTTCCGGAAACAAATAAGAGTCGACTCGTATGTCCTAAAATGCAAATTGTATTAGATTGAAAATGATAGGGTGCTTAGTGCTTACAGTGTCAAAAATAGTACTTTAGTAAGTACAATAGAAAAACATTTTGGGGTTTGATTGTCGCTTGTCGACGGAACCCACTACCGGTGCACGAAACCGCGTCTGAAATCACTCACGCATATTACTTCTTTTCCTTATTAACTATGACGTCATTTAGCTCAGTAAAGACTCGCCCAGGAAATTCTTTTGCCGCACTGTTAGCATTTTTGAATCATTTTCGGCTTTTAAGGTATCGCTTTGATTTGTTGTTCTCGCCGCCGATTTTTGTGGATAATTCGTCTGTTTGTTGTCAAACCAAAACACGTTTCAGTTTTTTCTATCTGACTAATACTGGCTGAATTACAGTTGTTCGCCCGAAGCATCGGCTGACTGGTGGATGCTGTTATCCAATTATTGGTGTACCGGCATCTGATTATTTTATTAGAATAGATACCGCGGGTCTCATGTAGTTTCTTACCTAACATACTTCTAGTGGGCGTAGCATGACAATTTATTCACGTATCAATCCTAACCCCCACCTGACTACACCATCCAAAAATTACGTCAAGACGACGTCACAGTGACGTAATAGAGCCCTTCAAACTATACGAACTGCCATCCAAGACGCGCAAACGAGCACCCGAAATCGAGGAGAGAGATCGATAACGTCAGTCAGTTCTTTATCGTTGGCGCCAATGCCATTTCAGGCGATTGTACGTATATTTGGCAAGCTCTATGACGTGATTGTGATGTCGTAGTGAGGTAATTTTTGGATGGCGTAGTCAGATGGAGGTTAGGATTGACATATCAAAAAATTGTCATGCTACGCCCACTAGAAGTACGTTAGGTACGAAACTACACGAGACCCGATACCGCTACCTACATTGGGAGTTGCATTGATATCAACCGTTTAACAATATAATTGTTGTAAACCATAGATGTGAACCTTGGCTGCTAAAGCAGTATAGGCTAGTAATCCTGTAGTCGCAATCACTTCATCAAATAAAATTCTCATCAGGCAGTCAGGTTGGGTCTGGTATAGTTTAGTACCACATCCACTTCTAGTTGGCCTGGCTCAACAATTTTTGCATATGTCAATCCTAACCCCCACCTGACTACGTCACCGAAAAATTACGTCATTCCGACGTCACAGTGGCGTAATAAGGCTCACCGAAGTATGTGGATGGTCGTACAAAACGCGCAACGATAACCCGAAATCGAGCAGGCTATTTCTTTCGTTTTCTCGTCGTAACGATCATGATAGGAGAGAGATCGCCGGCTTTAGCAAGTTCTAATCGGCGGCGCAGATGCCATTTCGGGGGATCGTAATTATACTTTGGCAATCCCTATGACGTGATGGTTACGTCGTAGTGACGTAATTTTTGGATGGCATAGTCAGGTAAGGGTTAGGAATAACATATGCAAAAGTCGTTATGCTACGCCCACTGGAAGTACTTGTGGTACTAAACTATACCCGTCAGGTTTTATGCTGAAAGGTAAGGACAGTAAGTAGGATGAAGATATTTCGGGTCTAGTATTTTGGGAGATAGTATACTTTTATAAGCATTATTACGCCACTGTGACGACGAAATGACATAATTTTTCAGTGACGTAGTCAGGTGGGGGTTAGGATTGACATATGCAAAAATTGTTGAGCCAGGCCAACTTAAAGTGCATGTGGTACTAAACTATACCCGATATTTCAATAATTGCTGAATCTGTATACTGGTATAGTAGCAAAGTAGAGGTAATTTTGGGTCTTGCTTGCTTTAGATGATTTCACTATATTGTGAACATTTTCTCCGCCGTTTATCATTCAATTGAAGCTAAACTTGAAAAATAAAATACATTGAAGCCTTTGTCCTCACGGTAAACTCTGTTTCATATCAATCAATGCCTTTTTTCATTGAAATAATTGACTTTATTTGTCTGCTGATCTTTATTCCAAAATTTTCTAATGTTGGATGGCCACCTTTCGCTTTGCGTCACTTCGTCGTGAGAGAGAAATGTCTGCGTGATCAGTGACGCGTGATAACGTCGCTGCGTAGAACTTACGATGCCTTGACCCGTTTTGCGTGTCGCATACTGACGTTCATCTATGTTGTTGTCATTCCTGACGTTTCGCAAAACTAAACCATTTACTACTGACTATTCATTATTTCATTAAAGTGCTAATTTGCTATTATTATCGTTTTGATACAAAGCAAAAATGAGACAATATGGAACAAATGAAAATGAAAAAAGAGACGAATGAAATAAGTAGTAAAAGTAAAAAATGGAAGTGGAAATGGAAAACAACTTTTTAATACAAAACAGGAATGAAAATAATAAAAAAATGGATGATGAATTACAGTAATTAGTAAAAGTAGAAAAATGGAAGTGGAAATGGAAAACAATATGGAACAGTAAAGCTTGTGGCAATTACATGCTTAAAATTTTCCACACGGGTTGGATGTGTCTTTGCAGCAATTAATGCAGTAATGTGAAACCAATGTGTTTTATTGCATGTTTCACAACCAACCCATTGGTCCTCAATTTCATTTACCTCAGGCTGAGCAGACATCCTCTCGTGTGTCGTTTGTATTATTTGCAGGTTTACGAATATATTTTCGCTGATCCATCCGGCACAGGTTTCTTCCTGGAGCAATTTTTTATCCTCGCTTACGTTTGCTTGGACTTCCGCTCGTTTCATGTATAGTTTTCAAATAGTCTATGAGGCAAGATGTCGTTTGATCAATTTCTTGACTCTCGATGGATTTAGATTCTTGGGCTGGCAGTTTGGCCAACACAACGGAGGGGGGTTAAATGTATGAATTCCACAAACCCGAAAGCATGATTTTAAATTTTTCACCGCTGTCTCTTCTAATTTCACAAAAAGGTGGTTCAATAAAAGCGAGAAATGTTATTCTGTCCTTCAATCAGCTAATATTGTTCTCCATTTGGTTTTCAAGGGAGCGAAAAATGAACAATCGAGGGGCTGAAGGAGGTGCGTACCATTTGGAGGTAAGCACGTGAAATATACATTGTTTTTGTCGGCCAACTCGATGACATCTATTGTTAAGTGCGAGGATAAGTTGTCCCCTGCCAGCAATTTGTCACCGTCAAGTTCATTGCAGAATGGGATGAACACTTCTTTAAACCAGCGGATGAAAGTTCTTGTGTTGAACCATCTGCTCGGCGTTGCATCATAAACTGTCTCTTTGGGGCCATCTCTGGTCCAGTATTCATACACATTCATTGCTGAATATACCACCATAGGAGGTAAGAGCTTTTCAGCGGCAGATCCAAAGAACAATATTGATATAGAACTCTTTAAAAAGTCGCGGATCATCTCCACCCTATTAATGCCAGTTGGTACAATAAATCTTTTTCCGCCAGGATCATCACGAAGGTTGATTTCATCGTAGTTAAATATATTAGTCGCGGGTAAACGCTTCGCTATTTCTTCAAGTTCGTTGAAATAATTTGCTACTTCTTCGGAGCCCACGGCGGCACGTGCTCTCTTAATATTTAAAGCAACTTATTTAAATAACCGTTGTCGCTTACAAAAACTGGTTATCCACGTCCGACCAGGTTTGTTATTTGGGAAACTGGTAGAGCAAACTCCCTTTGTGTCCAGATATCTTTTGACAATGTTGCTAATGTCCTCCGGCCCCATTGGAAAACTACAAGCGCGCAACAATTTCGTGGCTCTTTGCAAATCCCTTTGTGTCCAGATATCTTTTGACAATGTTGCTAATGTCCTCCGGCCCCATTGGAAAACCACAAGCGCGCAACAATTTCGTGGCTCTTTGCAAATCGCTTTTCCTCTTCATTTGTCAATCCAGTTGGACGACTGATACTTTTAGCGTGAACCTTCCTCATTTTATCGATTAACGTTGATCTTTTTACGTCATGACGTTTAGCAGCTTGGAAATATGACATTCCAGCTTTGACATCATCCATAGCTTTTTGCAAGTTCTTCATTCTGTATTCAGAGGCAGATAGACAAAGCCAAATGACAAGAAACGGATAAAAACGGCAAAAAGAAACTTTGATACCTTTTTTTTTAATTTTGCGACCTTTTTTATTCTTTGTATGTGGTCCAACCTCCTGCTGTGTACACCTGTGCAGTGCAGAGTTCACCTCTGGAACATTCTACGCTTAAGATATCTGGAACATTCTGCGCGTAACATATCATCAACGGCCGATTGTAAACAGACATACTTTATAATTGTGATAGTATATTTACGCGTAACTGGCTGTTCATCAGCCTTATTACGGTAAGTATCAACAACATCTATATACGGTCGGAGAATGTATGCAAAAATATACATGCACAAATTTGATGTGCATTAAACGGACTCACTATGAATAAATGAAGTTTTTGTAGGATTTGTTGACTAGGATCAGGTAGGAGCTTTTATTTTATATTTCACTACACACTACTACACGTCACATAGTCTGGCGTTCAAATGTTGCAGCGAGTTACGCACGAGCTACGCAATGTGACGTCGGCCATCAATGGAGTGAAATGGAATCACGTTGTTGACGTCACGTCTGCGTAAGCATCGTAACGTCGATATTTTGACGAAATTTTTAAATCAAAATATCCCTATCGTTTCATGATTCCAAGAATGGAAGAATATCAATTATAACAGCCAGTGCAAACCCCTCTTACAAGACATTTTGTGTTTTGGCATGAATTGACAAACCAACTTTGCGCAATAATTAAATTATGGAGCAGATCTATTTATTCTTGTTAAAATTAGTTGAAATATACAATTACAAATGACTTGGACTTTTTGAAAGATATGACTGTATTAAAATTAAATGCACTTATTCCATATAAACGAAATGATTTCTCAATCACTTTATTTCTCATCAGTAATCTGTATGTCCAGATCTTTTTTCTGTAGATCTTTCCTTCTGTGACATGAATTATCTTCTTTGTTGTTACAAAACGTGCTTACAATTACTCGAAGTTGAGCAAGTTATTTTTCTCATCGCAACGGGTCTGATATGAGAGAGATTGCTGACAGTAGTGAGTTCATTATCGGCGGCGGCTCGGCGCAGATGTTATTTCGAGCCATCGTAGAAATACTTTGGCAAGCTATATGGTATGATTGTGATGTCATAGTGACGTAATTTTTGCATGACATAATCAGATGGGAGTTGGGAATAACATATGTAAAAATGGTTATGACAAGCCCATTAGAAGTACTTGTGATGCTTGATAACTACACTAGACCCCTTTCCTTAAGCAATCAAAATTGTTATTTTGTTTTTATTTACTATAGGCAGTTTACTTCAATATTTTTGATTGTGATAGAAATATTTTTAACTATGGCAAGCAAATTACCAGCATGTGTGGTGGACGTCGGTACAGGTTACACAAAGCTCGGCTTTGCTGGAAACACAGAGCCTCAGTTCATCATGCCTTCCTCCATCGCTGTGAAGGAAACCGCGAAAGTCGGCAATAAAGTTCACAAAGGGGTCGATGATCTTGATTTCTATATTGGGGATGAAGCCCAAGATAAACCCAATTATGCCACCAAGTGGCCAGTTCGTCATGGAATCGTAGAAGATTGGGATTTAATGGAGCGTTTCACGGAGCAAATTATCTTCAAGTATTTACGTGCAGAGCCAGAGGATCATTATTTTCTCATGACAGAACCTCCTCTGAACACCCCAGAAAATCGTGAATACTTGGCTGAAATCATGTTTGAATCCTTCAACGTTCCTGGCTTATACATCGCCGTGCAAGCCGTGCTCGCATTGGCAGCGTCTTGGACGTCGAGAGCTGTTGGAGAGCGTGTTCTTACTGGTACAGTCATTGACAGTGGAGATGGAGTGACCCATGTTATCCCTGTAGCTGAAGGCTACGTTATTGGCAGCTGCATCAAACATATCCCCATCGCAGGTCGAGACATCACTTACTTCATCCAGCAATTACTCCGGGAACGTGAAACTGGCATCCCTCCAGAGCAGTCGATGGAAACAGCAAAAGCAATCAAGGAGAGATATTCATACATCTGTCCTGATATTGCAAAAGAGTTTGCGAAATATGACTCTGACCCAGCCAAGTGGGTGAAGCAATATGAATCAAAAAATGCAGTTACGAAGCAGTCATTTAAAGTTGATGTCGGTCATGAGCGCTTCTTGGGACCAGAAATCTTTTTCCACCCTGAATTCTCAAACCCCGATTTTACAACTCCAATTTCTACTGTAGTGGATGATGTCATTCAGAATTGTCCTATTGATGTCAGAAGGCCGCTTTACAAAAATGTCGTGCTGTCTGGAGGATCAACCATGTTCAAAGATTTTGGCCGTCGTTTGCAACGAGATTTAAAGCGCACCGTCGACGCAAGGCTGAAAATGTCTGAAGAATTAAGCGGAGGTAGAATCAAACCAAAGCCAATGGAAGTACAAGTGGTCACACATAGCATGCAAAGATATGCTGTATGGTTTGGCGGATCTATGCTTGCATCAACGCCTGAATTTTATCAAGTGTGCCACACCAAAGCAGATTACGATGAGCACGGCCCAAGTATATGTCGCCATAATCCCGTATTTGGCACTATGTCATAACTCGAAGAACTTTTGAAGTATAAAGTTATTGTTTCAGTTGAAGCAAAGTTGAGAATGCTTGATTACATGATTGTAATACCTACTGTATTTGGACTTAATTCTATTCAAAAAAAGGAAGAAAATTGATTCAAACCATGTACTTTGCTTATACTTATATCTTTTGTAATCTTATTCACAAATTGTTTCAAACTGAAATGATAAACTTGAACTTTTAAGTCGAGATATTCGAATAATCATGTTATATACTCAGAATGATTCCTAAGACTTAATAATATATCGAACAGTTTGTAGGCCCGGTGCAGTTTTGTTAATCTTGGGCCAAATAATTTTCGGTCGTCTTACTTAGAGCCGAGCTATATAAAATGGAATAATATCTAGAAATGTCTTCAGATTGAAATTCTCACTTTTACAAGAACTTCCAGACATTTAGGCAATATAATCTATGTTAAATCGCAAATCTATTTGAAGTTATGCGCACATATTACTGATATGATATAATTTTAGACTTTATAACTAGAAATTGGATAATTCCCATTTTTCCGTTGAATTATATACATTTAAACAATTTAATATCTGTTAAATCCCAAACGTTTTTGAAGTTACGCTCATATATTATGATATACTAATTCTAAACTTGATAACCAGAAATTGGATATTAGTGCTTTTTCAGTTGGAATATTGTCTCCCAAATAAAATTATTTGGATTTCCATTGTTGCTTCATGACATACTTGATTCGAATCTTTGATCATGGATAGCTTATTAATTTAGAAAATGAATATCGTAATAATTTGTGTAATTTTTACATTATTTTATGTTCTATAGCTTTTTTGGTATATATCAGAGTTCTGTTTCTGATTTGTATCAGTTATTTGGTGTACCAAATTAAATAATATAAAAGCTAAAACAGGATTTTCCACATTGGCGCCTCGAAAACTGGTCCCCCACCCAGTTTGGGAACTCCGGCTTACAATCTTGGATCCAATCTCTGTCCAAAATTGTATTAAATTGCTTTTGATTTTTATCCAATATAGTCAACTTTATCATTTGCTGTTCAAGCTACTTTTGTCATATTCAATCTAGGCAAGTTTAGTAAAATACAGAGCTGCTTCTAATGTTCAATTCTGATGAATATCCAGCATTTTGAGTGGCCAACTGCCAGTAATTTATTTCAATCTGTTATTTGTGTATTCTCATCATTATTTCACATACGATTAACATAGGGTTTACAGCACTTTGTGTACTTTTATCGGTGATTCTTATATTATCCAAGAATAATGTGTTCCGTTTTTAATTTTCTTGTAATTACCCTGTATTTTCTGCTGTAGATGTTTATTAATAACTGTTACAATTCCAATGAGTGAACCATTTTACCCATATAGTGTGCCTTTCCCACCTTGAAGCAAGCTTGCATCTTATAGATGACCGAAAAAAAAAATTGAACCTGTTTTGAACAAATTCCAGAGCGAACATAACTTTTGTGCAAAGAGTTCTAGATTACTGAATATTTTGGGTGCAATCATACGGAAACAGAAGTTTAAATTTTTATCCATTTTCCTAGAAGTATTCGAGAAACTCGTAGGTTCTATTTTTCTTGGCTCACTCTGTCTATGGACTGCATTTGGCAGATATATATATATATATATATAATGATAGCTCGATTCATTTTGGTTTTGCTTTCACATAAGACAACATAATTTGGCGTTTGGAAATGTTATGATAACATTTACAATGATTATCATGATAACAGACTACTGATTGAGCAGATTTAGTTTTTCAAAATGGAAAAGCACCACTGGTCGTTATCGGAACAGCTATTGTCGTGATCAATACATCATTGTTATCAAAATGCACTATTCTGAAAAATTTGATAATGCTAAGATTTGAGTATTTTGTGTGCCTGGATTTATAATTCCATTTCCCTGATGTAAGGGATTGTTTTTCGAATGTGATAATTGGCCGATATAATTTCACATATATATTATTTCCGTATTATATTATTGTGTAACAATGCAGATTATGACGATTTTTCATGCTAATTGTTGTTTCTACTGCATTTATTAAATTAGGTTTTCACTAGATCTAGTTAATAAATAGCCTCCAATGCAGTCTTGTTATGGCTTCAGAATTATCTGTCGATGCTGTTCGTGACTTCATCGTGCTGAATGATGGGAAAGTTAAAAACACAACTCTCGTAGCTCATTTCAAAAAGTTTTTAAATGATCCTCAAAAAAAGTCAGATTCACGGCAGAGATTTAAGGACTGTGTGAATACAGTTGCTGTCGTGAAAACGGAAAATGGAGAGAAATATGTGCAATTGAAAAAAAAATATCGTACAGCTGCACCGATAACTGCCTCGTCCTCTACTTTGCCTGCTCCCGAGGTTACCGATCAAAACAGCACACAAGCGTCGCCAAGCCATATTTCTTCATTTGATGCACCTATTGTGCCGGAATCCGAACAACCTGTTTTACATGGAGGATATTCTGCCCCGATTACGTACCGTGACACGCAAGAATTTAAAAATGAAGATAGTGAAGAATATCCTGTGTTAACATTTGGGCCACCAGGTGGCGATCAAACACAACAAGTCGACCCACAAGTTTCAAGCCCAGAACATCGCAAAAATGAACCGGACTCTTCAATTACAAGCAATGAGCCTCCCGGACCATCTATGGATTCGAGCGGGGTTTTTCGCGTTCCGCTACCACCTGGCGACCGTAAATCGAATTCCGAAACCCCACGACGACCTTCACAACCTCACCTGGTACCGAATGGCGCAGTAGAGCAAGCTCGGCTAAATTTTCAGAACAATTCTGGTGAGGATACTTCGTCAATTATGCAGTCTGAGGCATCTCTTGATAGCAACAAAGAAAATGAATTTGACGATGACCGTCAGGGAGGTCAGTTTTCAATGGATCCCTTAGAAAAGCAGTGGATGCTAATGGCAGCGAAAGGCGACATGGTAGAGCTCAGGAAACTTTTGAATAAGGATCCAAACTTAGCAGAAAAGAAAGACTTTGTGTTTGGGTACACTGCTTTACATTGGGCAGCGAAAAAGGGGAGCGTTGATCTGGTGCGAATGTTTGGAGACACGGGTATAGACGTTAATAGTATATCAAACGGTGGTTACACAGCCATGCATTTAGCGCTATGCATGGGCATGAGAAAGTAGTTCAAGTCCTGGTGGAAGAATATGAGGCAGATGCACACATTCGTAATTTACTCTGGGGAAACAAAGTTAAAGACTATTTACAATTCGGCGCAATATCTTTGTCAATTCAAAAATTATTATTTGGAAACGATGGCACTGGTTCTGTAAGAGATTTCGCAGCGGGTTTACGACCTCGACTTGATTCTGTCCGTAAATCGAAACGCCTCGGAAATGCTATAAGTGGAGGTGTCGGAGTTCTCGGTGCTCTTGTACGAGGGAAGTCAACTTCATCAGAAGATGTTACAAGTATTTCATCAGCAAGTCCAAGTATTGGTCGAAGAGGAAGTTTTAAATCGAAAGTGAAAAAGAAAAGTCGAAAATGGAGTAAAGAAGAGAGGCCAAGCATAAGTATAGTGTCCTCAAATTCAGCGAACTCAGACGAAATCGAAGCAGGGTTCGTCGTACCAAGAACAACTTCCTCAGCGCATGAAGGAATGCGACGTGGACATTCTTCCTCCCCCAGTTTTCCAAGGCCTAACTCATCCCGAGACCCCGGTCATCGACCCAGAGGCGAATCATCAGCATCTAAGACTAAGAGATATGATCATGGAGACAGCGATCGTTAACAAATAATTGCTGGGTATATTTGGTGGTTCTTCTATAAATATATTGGTCAACGGTTCTTAAGCTTTCATGATGTGTGGCCCACTTCCTAAGGCTTTCAACACTTATGGCCTCCTACACCTACTCCTTTAACCAGTTTTTCTTTCATATCTTCATCAGTTACTTTATGCGCCACGTTTAATAATAAAAAGCCATAATTTGAAAACAAAAAAACAATTAAATTGAATAGTTCGGTCAATTTACTTTAAATCAATATAGGCAATAAGCGTCTCAAACCACAGTATACTTCGTCAGGGCCTTTGCTTGTGACCCTCAGTGAACCACTGCATGAGGGAACGGGGTTCCTATTTTGGAAACTATGATATATATTATTCATCATAGGCAGAACTTGTAATATCTATGCGAGAAAATTATTTCAATTTTTTACAATTTCCTTTTAGTTTCTAGTAACATGCATTATTGTGTTGGAGTTCTGAACATTCAGAACTGGCTACATTTTATCATTATTCACAAATATTCAATGGCTGTGACTGTGGTGTGTGTTTTTATTGGTTTTTCAATGAAAGTACATAAAGAGTAAAAAATTGACAAATAACCAGAAATCAACTATAGATATTAGAACTCATATTATCCCTGCTCACCTGACCTCCATTTCTGAGCCAATTTCTACCTTTTTGTGTCAATCGGTACGAAGCACCTTAGTTCTCTCATTTTGTATAAAGGATTAGGGGCTATTTAGCGTGATGTATACTGCGGCATATGTTGCCAACACCTTACGTGGCGCTCCAGAAGTGTGTGTAGGGGGTGTATTCACTTGGCCAACACAGACAGTCCCCGGACTCGTAATAAAACTAAAATTAGGGAAAATGGGAATTAAATTATGCCATAACCTGGTACACACACTACGGGAGTACCGGTACCCCTTTAATGTGTAATTTCAGCGTTAGGAGTAAATTAATTCTATATCTATATTAAATTTATATTAATTCGTGATATCCATTAATTCATAAGGATGGAAAATGTGATAGACTTCACGGTATAGTACCAGTTTGAGATAGATCTCACTCACATCATGGTAGTACCCAGGTTTTTCAAATTATTATTTTAAAAAGATTTCGTCAAATTACCGCTTCTAGTGTATTTCTGGGCGCTCCAGAAGTATATGTACCAATATGGAGGTAACTAATTTTGTTCACCTACTTTATATCAAGTTGTGTGAAGGGACGGTAGCCTATGGGCAGGGGGTATATTCACTTAGCTAACACTGACAGTCCCTGAACTCATAATAGAACTGAAATAAGGAAAATCGGAATAAAATTATAGCCCAACTTCAACCTGGTATACACACTACTGGGGTACGTACCTATTTCTGAGTACAATTTATGAATAAGGACATTGCTAATAAATATGGTGTAGGTACAACTGAAAAATTCAAAGTTTAAAAAACATTTTGTTTAATCTTAATTTTATTTTTTTTGATCACTTCAATCAATCCTTTTTCTACAACATGAACTTTTTTTGGTGGTATATGATTCTTTTAAAGAGAAATTATTTGAAAATTTCGAAATTATTTTTTCTTGCTTTCATGGTTCATTGTTTATTATATTGCCCATAAAACTCACTCATATAATATGGTGATTATGGTATTACAATCAATCCCTTGTATTACTTCATATTACAAATTGGTTTATACAGAACTGTCCGCAACATGCCTCAAACATTTTGACCATAGGATATATTTACCCCCAGAAGAGAAGAAAAGTAGCTAAGACGACTTAATCATATTGCGAACCACGGCCTGTCGTCCGGTTACCATTCCTTGCCGGGTATGGGATTAGTTAGTTATTTGTTTCGGTAGCATGGACTTGATGGTGGAGGAAGCCGTAACCGACCAGCGATTACGTGAACCACCCTACGGCGGCAAGGAGTCCAGCAATCCTCTCACAAATAATTATCTCAACAGGATGGATTCGAACCTGCGCACCAACACAGGGAAATCAAGGTGCGATTGCGAGCGTATTCCTAGCGCTTAGCATGATGCGTCACACGGCTGAGCCACCATGCATTATCATACACAACCCCAAGATGAAAAAAATAGATACGAGAATAGGATATATATAAAAGTCCACTCATTACCCAAGTTTTTCCACAGAATGCCTAATAATTTTCTGATCAAACTCTCCGAATGAGAGAGAATTGGTAATTGAGATTTTGTTTTTCATGGAAGTATACGATAGTTTTACTTTTCCTCCGAACGAGGCTATTTACAAGTGTGAGATAGACGCATAATGTGACCAAGCTAAAATTTTTACTGTTGGTTAATTCTACAAAGTTTTTTTCCTTATTTAAAAACTTTATTCTGTTGTATTCAGATAAGGCAGCAGTCATCAAATTATTAAAACTTCATTATGCATTATTGCTTTTAGAATCTGCATGAGTGTCTATTGCTTGCATAGTTGGAAAATTTTCGAATTTGAATTTTCCAACAATTATGCTTATTTCTGGTTTTGCAAAATTGTGCATATTTGACAGATTATGTTTCAACATATAAAAAAAGATGTCCTATTCTTTAAGTATTGGATTGTGTCATTTTGTGCCCCAATTATCTTTAGTGGAGTTCTCAAAATACTTCCAAAGAAGGTTCCATTAGGGTGCACATTGCACACTGCAGTGATATATAGGGTGTCCATGAAGTCTTAAAAAAAATTTTAATTCTTTAAATTGCAGGGGGGATTTATCGATATGGTAAAAATTGTTTGAAGATTATAAATATTCAAACATACAATACAATACCATATATTGTTTCGATCTCACAGCTGTATTAAATTGAAGTAAAAATACCTAAAACAATTACTGATTAAAAAACAACAAACCTGGTTAAGATATATTAAAAACTGACTTCATAACAAAATTTAAATTATAAAATGACTTCATGGACGCCCTGTATTGCCTTCTGTGGTTTGGTAATAAATATGGACCCTGTTTGATCATCAAATTCTGTGATTCATTTCAGACTTTGTTCAATTTTCAATTTTGTTCGCCTATTTTACATCAAGTTGTGTAAAGCTAAAGGGACTGAAACCTATGGACAGTGCCCACAAGGAATATATTCAATTAGCTATCACAGACATTTCTCGAACTTTTAATAACACTAAAATAAGGAAAATCGAAATAAAATTATGGCCTAACCTGGTACAGACACTACAACAGTACCTTTGTTTCAAGGCTAAAATTTGTATCTGACAATTTTTTACTTTGAATATGCCTGAGAGCAAATGTCCACAGGCACCTATGAATGTGGCATTATCAGGGACAAACTACCCTATATATCTTCATTGCAGCTGCGCTTGATATTTTCATACCAGATAGCCCGGCCTAATTCTTGCACATCTTTTGTAATCATTCACCTAATTTTTCTTGCTCTCTTTTTTTATAATTTTTTAAATGGTTTCACTTTATTTTTGTTCCTTTACCAATGATTTTTGCTTTGTTTAATTAATTGATTGGAGTATTTCGATATTATCCTGAGTCTTCCAGACTAGTGGGTCTTGACTGTTTTGAGCTGCCCCCCTTTTTTAGAATTTGTGAAGTTTCGCGTCCCACCTCAAAAATAACTAGCTAGCAATAAGCTACAATTAACAGATTGTAAGGCAAAAGTATGTTTTATTCAAAAAATACATTGAAAATATGTGACTGGAACGTAAATATCCAAAATAAAGAAATGTAAATATCTAAAATAAGGCAGGCAAGATCAAATTTAACGAATATTTTCATTTTTAATAGGTTTCACGTCCCCTCAAAAAAATTGTTTACGACCCCTTGTGGGGTGCGCTCATGTATTTCTTAGTTGGGGTGACTCAAGACTATTCTTATTTATGACTTTGCTTTGGTTTATCTGTAATATATCATTGCAGTCATAATACCAAATTAGCTTATGTCATCCTCGACATATGCTTGAACATTTCAATTTTTTTTTCAATAATGTGAATTGACCCTTTTTATGTGATATTGGTTTATAATTTTTGGTACTACTGAGATAAACAGGAAATAATTTGTTTATTACTTATTAGTCGTGTTTCACACCTACACAGTTGTCAAGCAGTCACAGAGCTACTATTTTTCGAAGCCCGAAAATTTTCCATTTGCATTGCCTATCCAATCTTTCTAATTCGAAGCTAACACAGTCAGATCCAATGTTCTAGCCCAGGGCTACTTAACTGGCGGACCGCGGTCCGAATCAGACCTTTCGATTATTTGATTCGGACCGCACCTAATTCTTTATTTTAGATCGTTAGCCCCACTTTTGAAGAGCCTTTTATGAAATGACTTTTATAGTTTTGGAAATATATGAGAAGAACTATAACACCATAATAAGCAATTTTGATTAGCTAATAATCATTAGCCAGTCGAGAAAGCTTGCGTTTAAGGGTGCCGATATATAAATTTTAGAAAGACCGGGCCCAAATAATTTTGAAGTTTTGTTTGCGGATCTTCGGTAAATATAGTTGAGTAGCCTTGTTCTAGCAAAAAGGCCATTTTCATGGTTCTGCATTGCTTGCGCTATCTATTACACCAGGGGACCATGAGGGTTTAGGGTTAGCAGAGCCCCCTTTTTTAAAATGCAAAAAAAAATTTTTTTTTCTGTATCATACATACCAACTTTAGCTTTTTAGACCCTCAGGACACTGAAAACCTTCTAGCCTCCGGCAAGACCTGCTATTTGTTAACTTGGCAATTATAAATTTTAGAAACCCCCTTTGGAAATTCCTGGGTATGCTTCTGCTTTACACACTCGGTAGACATGTTATTTGGTCTCAACCAGTGTTCCCTCTAAGGTGTGCGCATGCACACAGCTTTCAGAGGCTGCGCACACGCATTGATTTACTGCGCACAGACGTATTTCGATGTAATGTAACAATGTTCTCGATTGGCAGGTTGAGAAAGTTTGTTGTTGGCCCACCCATTACCCGGTTAGAACGCCAAAATTTCTTTATCAGATTTTGCACAAATATTAGTCATTTCCAAAAAAGTACGCACACACCAAAATTTCTGTGCACACATATTACAAAAAATTAGAGGGAACATTGGTCTCAACGCCCTATGCTGATATTATGATAAATAACTAATTAATCGCCTTTATAATATTTAGTAACATTGTGATTTGAAATTAGTAACATATTATTATATTACTTGCAAATTTTTATCATTTTAACGAGATTTTTTCTTTTTTTGTTGCGCTTTAAAATGCAGTTATGTTTATGATTTATTGATTATTTGGATTAAAAATAAAAAAAATACTTCTGAACTATCTTGGTGTTTTCTTGAAGACTGGAAAGATGTCAAAATTGTGCACGATATGCAAGGATGGAAGACCAGTTATTAAAAGGCCAAAGACTGTAGGTTTTTAATATTGTAATTAGTTTTAGTGGTGGTGGTAGCTTTGCATTGAGCTAGGGCAGGGTTTCCCAAACTGGGGTCCATGATGACTGCACAGGGGTCCGCAACGATATGGAAAGAGTCTCAAACATATACAAATTGATCATAATCTTATCGAATTGCCGTTAGCCTGCCACTATCCAATGTTAGTATATATTGATTCAGACTTTCATGAGTTTTATTTAGTCAAAAGAAACGTTTTCTTTTCTCGATGGTTAGGCACATAAATTTTGCGTGAAACCAAGTTAATTGTGCGAGACTATCCAAGAATACACAATTAAATTAGTTCCACGTGTTCAATTAGTACCGACAGTCCTGACATCGAGGTGCAAAAAGATCATAATTTTATCGCATTTCCCTTACTAATATTTAACGTTAGTATGTATAGATTCAGACTTCATGAGCTCTATTTCGACCAAACATATGTAAAACTGTATGGAACCGATGCCATAGAGTCGGGCCTATTAATTTTCTTGTCACAAATTGATTCTTCACATTAATGTCATTTGTGTTGTTGTGTTCTAAATTCAGATGAAACGTTATTCATCGTCGTTGGATAGGCACATAAATTGATACGGCATAGGATGGGGGTCCGTCAAAAATAAGATTCACAAACAGGTGTCCGCGGCCTAAAAAGTTTGGGAAACCGGGGACATGTTCATTTTATTTTGAAAGTCTTGAAATAAAAACAGGACTCAGAAATATGGATGTCCATATTCCAATATTTGAATACAATTTCGATTTGAACATTATTTATACCAAAGTCAGAGTGAAATAGAATAAGTTCACCCCAAAAATATCAAATTTTACAGGAAAAATTGTTATCTGAATTCTAAAAATAGATATTATTGAATATAATCAATTTGTAAACTTTTTAACATTTCTCTGGACTTGATGACTGAGTAGACTTTGACCATGATCCATCTAACGCTGGAGATTTCATAGTTTGCAATCAAATATAGGGTGTTGGTAAAGTCTTGAAATTTTTTAAAATCTGCAGAGGGAATTTATCGATATCGCATATTGCTTTGGCCCTCTCAGATGTATTGAATGAAGTGAAAATACTTGAACAATTACTGATCAAAAAACAACAAACCTGGTTAAGATATATCGAGAACTGACTTCATAACAAAATTGAAATTGTGAAGGGACTTTATGGACTCCCTGTATATCATAAGAATATTTTCTTGTATTTACTTTATGATAAAAGCTTGTATTATCATGTCATATATTCCAAAAACCTCAGCTGTGTGAATTCCACCATTCCTAGTCATACTTAATTCGACTGCTTAAAATCTTGCATTTGCTGAGATATGAGATATCTATATGGCAGCGGCCCCCATCCTGGGGCTCCCCAGGGGTGTGTGTGTGGGGGGGGGGAATCTCCACATATTAGTTGCAAAACTGATTTTACTTTTCACTTCACGAAAAGTCCCTGTTTCTCCTAGTTTCATTTCTTGACAAGGTTATTTCACAGGGTGTTTTCACTTTTTTGTGCATGAATTGTTTGAACATAATGAAATTTGGAATCTACCAATCAAAATAACACTATAGATACTACTGCAATGACAAACAGGGGTCATGAGTGCCAAAAGCCCCGGAAGGGAGTTACAAGCTATGAAGTATTACTAGCCCTTCTCATTTCCGTGGCCACTCGTAACTTTTCGTTGAAGGTCGAATCTAGTGTTTTTGAATGAAGTTAACGCTCTTTTTCTTATATTAATGTAAAGGCATATTTTAAATTTCTTTATAGTAAAGGATGGCGGTCAAAATTTTCAATTGAAGCTAAAAAATGCCCTAAATAGATTTGAGTATAATTTTAAGTGACACCAAGCTGGCAACAAAACAACGACTTAATAGAATACTCTTGTCAAAAGACATGCATGTAGTCTAGCATGATAACGTTTCGGAAAAGAGAGAAGTGCTATCTTAGTGTGGGGTTTGCAATATGTTGCTTACATAGGTCTTGAGATCTGTCATGTTCCCTGTGACCTGCCCATATAAAACGAAGCAAATGGCTAGGACAGCCATAAACTATGTTACACTATGGCAGCGGTTCCTAACCGGGGGCCCATGACTCCCACATTGGGGTCACAGAGCATTATTAGGGGCACGATACAATGCTGAGCGTAAACCCATTTTACTTTTCTTTTTACAATAAAACCCACATTCTTCCTAGTTTCATTGCTTGATAAGGTTATTTCACGGGGTGTTTTCACATTGTTTAGCATGAATCGATCAAACATAATTCAATTTGGAATCTACCAATAAAAATGCCACTTGAATGATAATTAGGGGAGATGGGGGTGGGGATGGGGGTCATTAGTGCTTAAAGCCTCTTGGAGGAGCCTCAAGCCATATAAAGTTGGGAAACCACTGCACTATAGTGTAGTAGATCTCATGCTATAGTAAGGCCAAAATACATATGCAGTTGGAATTTTGATCTGATTAATCTTCTAGTGATTTAACAATATTTTACTATTTAGACCAGTTGTTATTCTTATTTCAATTTTCTTTCGAAAAATAACACAAGGGCTTATTTTAAGGGAATGTCTTTTATTTTCATGTATCAAAAACAAAATTACGAAGTAGAGAATTACGAAATTTTCAAATATATATACAAAATATGAAAATCGATATCCATTCACTTATAAATGACACGTTTTTATTTGAAAAAAAGTTAGGTCTCATTTTCAGGGAAACACCTTTTGCTGTAAAACATTTTATGAACCATATTTATCTTCTCAGGGTGATGCCGTCTGCAAGAAATGTTTTTACTGGGCCTTTGAAACAGAGATTCATCACACAATTGTCACTGGAAATTTATTCAAAAGAGGAGAGAAAGTAGCAATCGGGGCTTCTGGTGGGAAAGGTGGGTGTGCTTTAACTAGGGTTACTCCTGTAGTATATGTACCAGGTTAGGGTTAGGCCATAATCTTATTAGTTTGATTACGAGTTCGAGGACTGTCTGTGTTAGCCAAGTGAATATACCCCCTGCCCATAGGTTTCAGTCTCTTTACATAACTTGATGTAAAATAGGTGAACAAAATTATTTACCTCCATATTGGTACACATACTTCTGGAGCGCCGATATAAGGGTTTCTCAAACTTGGCTCTTAGCCTCCATGGAGGGCCTTCACTAGGTACCATTTAAAATGACTATTTTAATTTAAAGTAAATTGACTGTGCTTTGTTCAATTCCTTGACTGCAGTGCATTTATTCTTTAGCTTTTGTTGGCTTTTCGCTATTAAACGTGGCGCATAAAATAATTGGTGGAAACGCGTCGAAAGCAAAACTAGGTGCTTTTGTAGAAGAGCCGGGCACAAGCGTTGGGAGTTTTTGTCATAGTGCCGCAGATCATGCTAATAGGCCATAGTTGATATGATGGTTCTCCAATTTTTTAAGCCGCGCCGACTTTTGTAATTAAGTCTCGCGCCCCACGTCATATTAACTAGCAAGCAAGGTTCAAATAGCAGATAAGTATGTTTCATTCAAAAAACACATTGAAAGTACGTAGATGGAATGTAAATATTCCATATAAGGCGGGCAAGATCAAATCTAACAGGTATTTTTAATTAGCTCTGTGCCCATCAAGAATATGTATACGACCCCCCCCCCCCCTCTGCGGGATGCGCCTAGCCGTTTGAGAACGACTGGTTTAAATGAATGGTTTTTGACTTCTTATATAACTGTTGGAAGTCTGAAATTTTTACTCCAAAAAACTCATTATTTCAGGGAGTATATAATACGGTTTCTGCCCTAGTTTTGCCAATCCATGTTGCATTTCCTTGCCCGTAAGAACTGCGATTGGTATCCTCTTTCAACTTGATTTCTGGTTCCTGTTGTGTTTCAGATTCCACAGTCCTTGCTCATGTGATGAAAGTATTGAATGAAAGATTTGATTACGGACTTGATTTATATTTGCTGTCGATTGACGAAGGGATAACGGGATACAGAGACGATTCTTTAGAGGTGAAAAGGGTTTGAGTGCATTTTATTCAGCAGCATCTATGGCAGGGCCATGACCAGGAATTTTCAAAGGGTGGGGGAAGGGGGGGGGGGGTTTTCTGAAATTTGTAATTACCAAGTTACACCATATCAGCTAGCGGGGGTGCTCCGAAATGTATGATACAGAATTTTTTTTTTTACATTTCAAAAGGGGGTTCCGACCATCAAATCTCATCCATCCTCTTACGGCCCCTTCTGCTTGCACATACTTATCCCCAACATGATTTGAGCCTGCAAGCTAGTGCAAGGTTATCAGACGAACGATGACGAGCGTGTTACTAACGCTTAGCCCGACCATCAAGCAAATTCTTTACAAATCTTTACCCTAAACCAGTGGTGTGCAACCTGCGGCCCTCAAGGAAAAATTATGCGACCTGCGGAGAAGTGCCAATTTTAAATGAGTTTTCAATTTATTTGATATGTGCAAGTAATTTCAATTATACCTGAGTCCAATTTATTATCTATGCATATGACTTTACAATGCCTCAACAGCTAACTTGTGAAAGCAACGCATGTCACAAGATCAATAATCAAAATTTTGGTGCCTGCAACTACTAGAAATCCTATGTTAAATAAAGGTTCGGCTCGTGGTTTCAGCCAGTTATTTCAATCTGGCCCTCTTGTATTAAAGGTTGCACACCCCTGCTTTAAACAAAGCCCCAACTTGTGTCCCTACCAATTTTATTTAAAGTTTGATTTAAAATTTGAACAGACAGTAAAAAGAAATCAACAGCAATATGATTTACCATTGAAAATACTTTCATATGAAGACTTGTACGGTTGGACAATGGATGCGATTGTGAAACAGATTGGACTGAAGAATAATTGTAAGTTGCTATTTATTGTTGTTGTGTTTCATCGAAAATAAGGACAAAATTTTATCACATGATTTTACAATTTTGTTGTTCTCATATCCTTTGAGACAGTGGGTCCCAAACTTTTATGTCTCGTGGTCCCCTTTCAGAGACTTTTAGCACCCATGACCCCCCTGTTTACCATTCCAGTGGTATTTTCATTGGTAGATTCCAAACCCATTATGTTCAAACAATTCATGCTCAACAAACTGAAAACACCCCGAGAAATGACCTTGTCAAGCAATGAACCTTGGATAAACTGGAGTTATTATGTGAAGAGAAAAGTAGGATTTGTTTTGTGCCTAGCATTGCCCCCCCCCCCCCCCCCCCCCCCCCCAATTGCTCTATAGCCCCCCACTGTGGCAGCGATTTGGAACCACTGCTTTGAGATAAGCCAGTGGTTCCAAACCTTTTCCGATACATTTTTTGAAACCATGTTAAAATCAAGATATAATGGGAAGTGACTTATTTTTGAAGTTTTGACTGTATAAACCAGGGGCATTGCCATGGGGGTTGGGGTCGAAACCCCCTTTCGGAATGTAAAAGAAAGACATTTTTTCGTATCATGCACAGCAATTCTTCATAGCTTGAAATGCTTAAAAACCCACATTTTCCGGTCCCACTCGATAGCTGTTTTGGTCCAACTTGGCAATTAGAAATTTTAGAAACCCCGTTTTTTGGAAATTCCTGACCGGTTCATGGTATGAACACATTGAGATATGCAGGATTATTTCAGAGAAGTTCCCAGTTAAAAGATGTGTCAGAACCATTCTAAGAATGTTATTAATATGAAGCTTATCCGTGTCTTCCAATTAAACAAGGCCACTGATATCTAGGAAGATACTATTTTTTGAAAGTACCAAAATCTTTTCTGTGCCCAGGTTGAGATTGAAGGCATTAGATTTGGGTGCTCCAGAAGTATGTGCACCAAGATAGCGCACAACCTGAACATAGATAGTATGTGTACCAGGTTATGGTTCTCAGGTTGTGTGCCATCTTGGTGCACATACTTCTGGAGCGCCCTCGTTTGAACCACATAGGTGTAACCAACGATGCTAACACAGCTAAGCCTAACTCTTCAGCCACTATGCTATCTCGGCCATGGTTTGGCAATCAGCAGGAAGTTCTGTCAAATTTTGTATGCCCATCTATTGTTTAGAGCACAGATTCCCAACTGGGGGCCCGGGGCCCACCAAGGGGTCACGGGGCAGTTGGATGGGGGCCACAATGCTAGACAAAAGTATGATTTTACTTTTTCCTTTACAATGAAACTTATTCCTAGTTTCATTCCTTAAAAAGGTTATTTCACGGAGTGTTTTCAACATGTTGAGCATGACATGTTTGAACACAATGGTATTTGGAATCTACCGATTGAGATAACACTATAAATACCACTGGAATGACAAACAGGGGGATCATAAGTGCTAAAAAAACTTTAGAAGGGGCCACGAGTGCTAAAAGCCTTCGGTAGGGGGCCACGAACCATAAAAAAGTTGGGAACCACTGCTTTAGAGCATGGGTTCACAACACAGGGCACGCGTGCCAAAATTTGGCGGGCCATACGCTCAAACGTGGCACGCGATGGTTTTGTGAATATAAAAATTGTATTTATGATATGCATAAAAATATCACGTTTCTATCAAAATCAGCAGTTTTTCAGGACATTAAATTGTTTCAATAAATAGATATTCGTTATTATGTATTATTATTGAAATTTGTTTGGTGTGTTTTACGGGAGTTAATTTACAACACCAACGATTGTGCATGGCACGCGACAAGATTATTTTTAAAAAATTCGGTACGTGACCTCATTTGAGTAGTGCACCCCTGCTTTAGAGCATGGGTTAGTTAAAGTTTCACATGTCCAAATGTTAAGAATGCCGCATCATTTAAAAGACCAAGATTGGTCTCTCATCGCCTTCTTATAAAAGGAATGTTCCTGGGATACCTGATATTTCTTCCCGCTATTTTTGGTTTCACAGTCGGCGTTTGTGGCAGGAAATTTTACCTTGTAGCCTCTCATATCGAGAATACCAAGCCGCTCTGGAGAAGCGGCTTTCAATGTTATTCTATAATAAGATATGGGTTTCTGCATTGACTATATATAATAATCATTACACATACGCATTTGTTCCGTGTGGCCGATGCATCGTCGCGTTTGTGAGTAATATGACATATTATATGGCATATTATGACGTAACATTACTTGGAATTTCCATTCTAATGCTTCTTTCCGTAATCTTCCGTCTGAACAAGTTTGCGCGCATGAAAGAGATTTTCGTGCGATCTTAAATAACGGCGAATAAACAATATCTCCGTAAATTAGGTCGATATTTCAGCATCGTTCTATTTGTTGGTTTAACAAAGATGGCCGCCGCGGAATTCCTGAGAGCTAAAGCGAGATATTGATCCATATAAAATATATGCTTGGCGTAGCATAATTTACTTTTCTCTATATTACGAGAAGTCTCATATCTCTCCCACTCTTGGCAGGCGATCGTTAGCGAACAATAATTTTCTGTTTCTTTTATTATCTTCATCGGAGGATATTTCTCACTCTTGGCCGATCTTGATCCGCGACCTCCCTTTTTCTCGATCCGCTCTCTCTTTTATTATATTTGGTCGACTGTGGTTTCATGACTAATTTATGACCTCATTCATATCGTCTGCGTTGGGCCGTCCGTGCGCTGTAATTTTCCATCGCCTTTCCGCGAAGCAAGCTAATAACATGACCGATATCATAGCAGGTTATAATCGATGTCAGGATTTTTTTGTGTTTAGTAATTGTTTTAGTGTCTGTTAATCTGTTTGGCCAGTAATGAACGTTAGATGGTTGATTAGGTATTTCGAAAACTTTCGAATAATTACGCCGAATCGCCATTGTAATCATGCTTGATTCATATTAAGGCCCTAACCAAGGTTTTGATGCATATTTCGGACATAGGGTTTTCATATTTATCCCGGTAGAAAGAAAGGTTAAGTTGACTTAATCAATGGCGAGATTTTCGTCCGTTCAAAAGTAGATGTCAAACATGGGAATGCCAGCCAGATATCCATTGAGGTTTCGCTCGCTTTCAGCTCTCTCAGACGGACAGTCCGTGCATAATAGTGTACCGTGAAGACACAGCCAAGCGTAGTTAGCCCATTTTTGTAGCAAATCTCGTTCGTCTTCCACAATATGGCAAATAAATAAATCGGTTTCCCCGGCAAATTCAAATGTTGTCTGCTGCAGATATCCACTACCGGTACCCCTCTTATACATAATATTGCAGTGAAACCCTCTTTGATATTCAGCTTTTTAAGCTTATCCATGATTATAGATGTGCCTTTCTACCTGTTGAACACCGGGGTTTGTCTGATGAGAGCATATGAACAGTACTAATAACTAAAAAATCGAGGGAAATTTGTCTTGTTTTAGTGATATTAGACATTGCAATAGCGCCATGTTTGGCGACAAAGAACAGGCTTGCATACGTGACTCAACGCCAGTGGATAAACAAATCATCAATATTTTATGCTCGATCGCGCATAAGTTTCTTCTCTCGTTTTCTCGCTCTCTGTATCTCTTTCACTCTTCTTTATATTGCTTGGTTCCTTCCCACCTTTATTGGCCGAATATAATTTTAATTTCTCTTTTTATCCTTCACGCAGTTTTGGCCCGATCGAGTCGCGCTCGTTTTCTACTTGTTTCTTTGATATAATTACCTAATCGCTCATCTTTCTCTCATGTCTGGCGTATATGGTGAGAGTAAAATATAGGCCTAATTTTTCCAGTCGGCAGTGTTTGACTGTTTGTGCTATATAGGATTCGCGCTATAATGTCATGATAATACGAATGTAACCTCGTTTCAATTATCGCAACTTATATGAATTAGAAGAAGTTATCTATATTCTCATACCATATACATGTGTATATATTTTTAAACGGAAAGTTGAGATATTCTAATGCCATGTTTCATCGTGAAATGAGGTAAAATGTACGAGTTTTTGACAGCTTAGCGTTATTAATAGCTGCATTGTGTTGTTCAATTAGTATCGTATTATTAGCATGTCAGATTCGGATATTTCCTGGTTGCAAGTCACTCTATGCGTAGACAAAAGCGGTTGGTTAATCTGTGGCGAAAACTATGGATTGCCTCGAAGAAATATATCGCGCTTACTTGGCATTGCACTCATTTTTGATGTGGAACTTTGTTATCACTTTATTATTTTATCATCACTAATATGATATGCATTTTTTTGATTATATTATTCATCTTATGTTAGAAAAAGTCAGTTACCGCACTATGCCCGCCATTAATGCTGATGTGTTTATATTGATATTCTGTCTACGTTACGTTATTGGGTACTACTCCCTTAGTGTGTGTACCAGGCTAGGGTCAGGCCACAATTTTATTCCGATTTTCCTTACTTTAGTTTTTTTACGAGTTCGGGGATTGTCTGTGTCAACCAAGTGAATATGCCCCCTGCTCATAGGTTTTAGTCCCTTTACAGTTTACACAACTTGATGTAAAATGGCTAACAAATTTAGCTACCTTCATATTGGTACACATACGTCTGGATCGCCCGCTATTATCCCATATTCAAACTTACCCTACGATAAACATGGTTAAATGCCCTTTAAATTAGTAATAGGTCAATAAAGGAATTTCGATAAGCGATTGCCGATTTTTTTGTACAAATCGCCCTAAATCCCGCACTAAAAAAACACTCCCCTCCAGCGATCAAAAGAACATTTTAGCTGGTTAGGAATGCGAATTGCGCTGAAAATTCAAATTCTTAAATCTTTTCTAACTCCAACTGGATTATTTGATATTTAAAAAAACGTCGCGGGGTGTTTTTTATTAAATCTCATATCTTTGCATTAGTAGCTTTGTAAAAAAGATCCGATATTGCATACTTAGTTATATGTTTTCAAGTTTATATATAGCGCACAATGATCGGTCATAAACCTTGTAACCATTTATGTAGCT